TTGCTGGGCATTTAGCTCAGTGACATAAGTGCCTGCCTGGCAAGCGTAAGGACATGAGTTCAGTCCCCGGTACCAAAAGAAAAAAAAAGACCAATACCTCCCCTTTATAGAGACATTAGAGACTGTATACAGAATTTCTTTCTCTTATAACTTTTTGCTCATCTTCTGGGATCTATCATCTCTTCCTGTTGAATAAATATAGTGCTGACCCTCAACACAGGATCAAAAGCCACCTCTTCTATCTTGGAACTTGAATACTACTATTTTTCATTCTCTTTAAAATCTTTCAAATGGGTTTCTTTCTGTTTAGTGACCATTCCTATTTCTTTGCATCCTCTCACTGCATAACACCTTGAGTTGGACTATATTCATGAATTTCTAAAGGATTATGACTGTATCTCCTGCAGGCCTGAGCACAGTCCTCATCCCTGTGCTTATTCCAGTAAGTACTTCTTCTCAAGCACATTTCAGTATGCAGTGAGTAAAAGACCTACCTTTTTGAAATTTATTTTCTCAAGCAGTAAGAGATGTTAAATGGTGGATGTACCAACAAGTACAAAGAAAAAAATTATGCAGGACAGGCATAGATAGTTTTGAAGTAGAAGAAACTGCTAATTTAGGTAGTGATGGAGGGACCTTTAAATGAGATCTGAAGGAGGCGAGGAGGTGTGAGTCATAAAACTATCTGGGGAAGAACATTCTAAGTAGGAAGAAAAGTAAATGCAAAATTCCTGAGGTAGGAGTGCGCCTGATGCTTTTAAAGATCCTGAGGAGGCTGGCCCTCCTCTTTTTTTTTTTTTTTTTTTTTTTTTTTTTAACCTGGCAGTGGCGTTTGGCATCCTTCATTCCCCTGTACATTTGCAAGTATTCTTTGTCCTGTGCTATTGGAGACCAATATTCTGGAATGTCCATATTCTCGAAGGACCTGCGAAAGCCTTTTCCATCTCTTTCTTTTGATTTTTGTGCTTTTTAAAAAATGCCTGCCTTTTAGTCTTTTTTCTTTTAAAAAGGGCTCTTTCATTGCCTAACCTCTTTCCCCTACACACAGAGTATTGCCAGTTTAGTTCTTTTACTTCTGTTTACCAGACAGGTCAACTTGTGTATCACCATAGGCCCCAAATTTAACATGTTTAACATGGAAGTTTATTGCCCTGAACTCACCCCTCCAATAGCCTTAATTATCTAATTTCTATTTCCCATTTCCATTTCTTGGGTAACTATTCAAATAGATGCCAAAACTCAGTTATCTGTGAGTCTCTTCTCCTTTACTCTCCACTTATAACTAGTTGTCCTATGAACTTTTATTCTGTTTCCTTTGTACATCTGTTGACTTTATCAATACTACTGTCATAGTAAACAAACATGCCTGAGCATGCTATACCTGGAATCTACAATGTTCTCAACTTTTAGAAGCAAGTTCAGATTTTACCTCCTTTATGTGGTGGTTTGTTCCCATCCCAGGCAAGTTAACCATATTTTTCATTGTGTACATACCTCTTCCAAAGTCTACATACTGAGAGAGTGATGAGTGTCTTACAAGACTGTAATCTCCAAGTTCCTTTCCTCTCATCCAGAGAGGAAGGGCTCCACCTGATCCCAGCTTTTGTCTCTTCTTTATTTTCTCATCCTCTTGTGGTCTTTCATTCCAGAGAACCTCAAGAGTCACAAGGGTCATGCCACATGGTACCCAAACAGGTACCAGTAAGAGGTTAGAGGGTGAGGGGACACTTAACAAGGGGGAGAAGTGCATTGGTATACATCAGTATTCATCACTTGAGTATATTGATGTTGGCTTCATCAAGTGTAAAGACTGGGGTATTGAAACAAACCTTAATCTCTAGGACCACAGTTATAAACAGGCTTGTGAGACACCCTTCCCCTGGGGGCAGGGGAGGAACTGTGATTCCCCGAAGGCCAGAGTGAAGTCTTATTAATCAGTGTTCCTAGAGCTTTCTTTTATTTCCCTATATTGGGTGAGTAGAAAAAAGAACAGACAGATAGTTAAATTTGGACAATGGGTACTGCATTAGAACACATTGAGTACGAAGGCAAAAAATTAAAAATTCTCAAGATGTGCATTTCTTCATCAATAGCATTCACACAGAATACTGTACTAACATCCCTGAGAGAAGCTGGAATTAATATTTTGTTCATGTGTACTTGCATTTGAGTGCTTTCATTCTGCTGACACCCTAGAACAATCGTTGGCTGAATCTTTAGACAGTGGTTGGCAGGCAGACCCGGGACCCACCTAATGAAGGCCTGTGGCAGGCTGAACTCCATTGTTGTCTAGGCTGAGGCAAAGACCGTCTGTTTTAGATCAAAATTGAAATTATAATTATATAAATACAAATTTTGTAGGTGTTTATGTTGAATAGCATTATTCTGCTTATTTTTTGTTTCTAAACTTAGAAACTTTTTTTTTCTTGTTGAGGAAATTTGAGTTTCTGAAAAAAATGTCTTAAGATTATGAGGGAAAAATTAGGCAGCTGAAATATTTGAGGAAACTAAAAAATCTTTGGCAGATTTACAGTATAGATTCTAGAATAGCAAAGAAGCTGAGAATTGAGAGGGAAGAGAAACATGATTTTTAAAAATTGTATGTAACTCTAAGAAGTTTAAATGTGAAGATTTTCAATTAGTTTAGCAAGTTGTTTCATCCTCATTTGGAAAGCAAAGAATTATGCTTTGAAAAGAAAAGTAAAGTAAAGTAAAAATTGAATCAGTAAAATAATTATTTGTGACGTAAGTGATTTTTTAAGGTTTAATGATGTCAAAAGCTATCATCTCCATGTGCTCATAATTTTATTTTATCTCAGACCAGTGGTCTAATTTTGTAGTACTCTTGTGAATCTCTAAAATGTTTTTAGGATATTTGTGATATTTTAATGAGCACTCATAATTGAATGCTGTTAATGGCTGTGAAAAATGAAATTCATACTAGTTATAGAATAAATTATGATTTTAGCTCATTTTGATCCAGAGAAAGTATCATAGGAAGTTACAACAAAAATAAATGAAATAAGCCAAGCAGGATGGTGAATGCCTGTAGTCCTAGCACTTAGAAGGCTGGGGCAGAAGGATTGCTGTGAGTTCAAGGCCAGCCTACACTACATAGTGAAATCTTGCCTCAAAAATAGGAACAGTCAAAACACAAAATGTGTTTTTCATATATCTGAACACTTTCAGCTTGTCAACTGTTGTGTCTTCTACCAAACTGACCGTTTATGCTATGAAATGATGAGGAGAGGTCTCCTCTGATTTAAGATGCTGCCTGTTACTGTGAAGTTGGGTGGGTGAGGTGGAGCAAATGGGATCAAATTGCAGTCAAAGCCTAGAAAAGGCTAAATTAGCCAGGTGCATGCCTGTAAGCCCAGCACTGCAGAGGCTGAGGAAGGAGGATCATTGGGAGTTCAAGACCAGCCCTTACAAAGTGAACTCAAGGTCAGCCTGAACTGCAGAGCAAGACCCTGTCTCAAAAAGACCTCCCAAAAAAGAAAAGGCGAAACTGTCCCAAAATGCTGACAGTGTCACAAATGCAGAGCCTTACAAGTTATGTTAAGGTCCTAATGTAGAAAAAGGCTGTGTTTACTCAGTCATGCACCTAAGGTAGGGAACAAACTTAAAATATTGCTTACTTGTAATCTTTTTGCTTGCTTCAGAGGTCCTGAACATTTTTTCAGCCTTTCATGTGCTAAGTTTGATTAATGGTTAGTGGAATGCTCCTTTAAACTGTTGTTTTGAATATGGATTAAAACAAAATGAGCTGAACAGATGACATTATAATTATGCGGCTCTTGCTTTCTTGTTGATCAGCTTCTTACAACATTTTATCATGTGAACCTACAGTACCCTAAGGTGGTTTTACCTTGGTGTGTTTTTCTGACTCACTCTTGAGCCTTCCTTTTATAAGGATTTCGGATGGCAGGTGACTGATACTGTTGGACGTGCATTCCATTTAACAAGTATGTGAGCCAACATGTTTGGAAGGCAGGGTGAGTTGGCACATTGACCTAAAACTTTTTGGAATCTGAGTTGAGCATTAGGTGAAATGGCAGCATGCTTTTCACTGTAGCAGCTTAATTTTTCCTCGTGCGGAGTAGACATGAATGTGTTTGCTTTACCGGTAACTTAATTATGAGCAGGTAAAATGCACCTTTCCCAGCATGTAATGTCTGCAAAGAATGTCCATATTTTGTTTTAATACATGTTAAGACTTCATGTTTTACCATGAAGGGATCACTCTGCACTTTAATTTGAATTGTGGCACCATGTTACTGTCTCTTTTGATCTTCTTAACACTTTTAAATAATTTGACAGTGTTGTGGATTAGCACATACAGAAATGAGCTGGGTATGGTGGCACATGGTTTGTAATTGTAGCACTCTGAGAGGCTGGGCAGGAAGGTTGTATGTTCAAGCCCAGCTGGGCAATGGTGAAGTGGTCTGTTTAAGTGTGATTTGTTTAAAATAATAGCTCTATAATAGTAAGGAATAAATTTAAATAAACAGAATCCATCCTTTCATTTGCCTCTACTTACCTCTTTTTTCAGTTTGTCACCTGGATCCTCCAGTCACAGTAAACTCCTTAGAATCTGATACCTTCTTAAACACACACACACACACACACACACACACACACACACACACACACATCACATAGTACATTTTAGGTCCCCTTTAGAGGGTACACTTCCAGGAAGCATCCCCCAGTTACCTCATCTGCCCTCATCTCTAACCCATTCTGGGCGAATTAGTTTTGCACTGGGTGCCTATTTGTGCTATACTTGTTTTCCCTTTGCAGCATTCTCTACACAGCTTTGTTTAGGTTGCACTGACTGTTCACAGTGAATTATAAACTACACAAAAGAACAGGGCCATCAGTTTTGTTCACAAATGTCTCCCTGGTGTCCAGCATAGAGTCTTGTCATGTAATAGCTTATCAGTTCATCTGTGTTATTTTTAAATGATGCTACTTACTATTTTCCATTTTGTTTTCAGATTCCCCAATGTGAGGACAAAAGAAACCATGCTGAGAAACTCATCTCTCTTGCAACACTGGAAGATCCCAAAAAGCCAAATGACCTTTCCGGTTTTACTTCAGATAGCAAAGCGGGAGAAACTGACAGACAACCAAAAGAAGGCTTTTTTCACTTTCTTGGTAACTTGTTTAATATCTCAGGAAAATCATCTCTTGGTGAAGTTAAGCAGTCTTCTTTCAGAGATGACCACGATAAAACTGAGCAAGATTCACAGACTCACTGTGACAGTCATGCGAAGGGTACCAAAAGGGAGAGGGCTCTCTGCAGTGGCTCATTGGGAATCCAGGTCCTTCCAACGAAAGAACAAGAGTCCAAGTCAAATGAACTCTCAGATACCTTTTCTTTGGATACAACACAAGATGGTGAACAGGAAAACACTGATTTGCTGAAGTAAGTTTAATATTTAAATGAGCCAAAAAGAATTGGGCTTCAGAGCTTGGCTCTTTGGCCTAATTTCTAATCCTTATTAATTGGAGGGACTGGGAAAAATTAGGGCATATAATTTGGAGGCATGTTTTAGGAATTTAACTGAAATATGTACAGAGTATTTCTGATTATGTACAAAGGTGTTCAGTTATTGGGTCCTGACCTAGATCCCCGATCTTCCAAACGAGTATGCGGCGAAAGTTTAAATAAAATGAGACAAGTGGTATGATTTTAGGGCTCCAGAAGGGTCAAAACCCTTAGCTGAGCTTGAGACTCTGAGGGCTAAGACAAAGACTTCTCTGAACCGCTCACTTTTTATTAGGTCCAACAACAAGGGGCGGGGAAACTGAGGAAAGCTCAAGCAATGAGCAGGACTTAGGGAGTCACTTCAAGGATGTCTCCAAGTAGTGAATCGTGTCAATTTAGTAGAACTGTCTTATCATGAAGACATGGTAGAAGTGAGACTATAGTAATAATTCCTGCAGCTGCAGTCTCTATCTACTTAATTGATGTCTGAGCCAAGTGTCCACAGCTGTGGCCTTATCTTGCCCTTTGCAGTATCTCTGGCCTCACAAGCCACTACAGGCCTCAGCAGGGACCAGTGATTCATAGAGGTTCACTTACTATGAATCAGCTCCCATCGCCAGGCAAGGGGCCTAGGCCTAGGATAAACTCACAGATAAACATAGAAAGCCAGTTAGTAAAATTTAAATCCTGCTAAGAGCTGCATCGTAGTGGTCTCCAACATTCAATAAAATAGTATTCATAGTATTAGCTAACAACAGAAAAAAATGACTAAATTGTACATCCATACTATGGGGTTGTTTAAAGTAATGGTATGTAAAGGATGTATTCCCTGCTACCACAGTTATTAGTATTACTTGGAAATCATTAGAAATATAGGTGAGCTAATTCAGACTGCTGACTCAGCATCTCTGAGAATGAGCCCCAGCAGTGTCACAGTTTTTCCAGGTGGCTTTGTGGTCACTTTTACTTGAAATCCAATGTTGTGAAGTAAATTAAAATAGTAGAGAATTGAGTGGAATGGCAAGTTAGTGGTTTTTCTCTTTTTGTTTTTTCAGGTTTATTTGGTAGTGAAAGATAATGAAAAAGGATACTGTTCTTCCTAATCCTTGTTAGTAAAAGCCCTCTTTGTTAAATGAATCAGTGGTAGCAAATTGCTGCAGCAGGTTGTTTGTATCATTGAAAGCTCTAGAAGGTTTGCCATAACTGGAATTGCTTTGTTATGAACCATCTCAGCAAAGAAAAGTGATTCTTAATGAATGAAGAAGAGAAAAGACAACTGCATTCTCAGTTTGATGGAGTGGCAGATTTCCTTCAAACCTGGCTTTGGAAATCCCCACAACTTGTCAGACTTCAGATTATACTTTAGTAATGCCTATTCACAAATATCAATTTAAGAATTATAATTTAAAAATTGAATACTATTTGGCAGCAGTTTATTTTGACATTTAAATTTAAGGATTGGTCACAGCTGACTTTACATGTTACTTAAATAATATATTTAGAGAACTATTTACTAATTAGAATATGCATATTAAGTATTTACTTGATTTGGTTTTATGATATGAATTTATTAAAAAGGATATTTTAAAATTGTTATTCAAATCATGAGCATATTAAATGTGAAATGTTATTTAAAAATTAGAGCTTGTATATTTAAAATTAACTGAATTGTTTCACATATAAAAATTTCTAATTTTTTAATGCATAGGGAAGAGTGAATTAACTAAAGTTTCGAATTGCCTTTCTCATGGAAGAATGACACAACTTTTTTCTTTCATAGGTCTTTACAATCATAGTATTAAAAAAGATTGACAGTTTTACACAAATTAATCTGTACTGTATAACATTGTTCATTAACGTACTATCATTTTTTGTGGTTACTGTCAATAGCATTTTAAAAATTGAAAAAAATTTAAACCTGTTATTCAAAGTGAATTGAATAATCACCAAAATGCAATATAAATTATTTCATCTTAATTTAAAATGATCTTTTAATTGTATTTATTTGTAGTTCAGTATGTAAATTTTATTTTTAATATTCATAATAAAATCCAATAGGTAGGCAATTTAGATTGTTTTCAATATATTAACTCATGATTTTTGGAAAACTTATATAGGAAAATACTTTATTATTATTTATACTTATTATTTATATTTTTTACAGGCTCATGTCCAACATAATGTGATGCTCTTTTGTGAAAGCTCTCAAAAAAATTTTTTTAGATTTTCCAAGATTTTCTTTAAGTAGAAAAATTAAAATCCTTCCCCACAGTGAGAGAAAATACTTAAGTATAAATTTTGAAAGGAAATAAATATTTTGTTTTGTTTTTTGATATGGGGTCTCACTATGTAATTCAGGTTGCCTTGAATTTGCTGTGTAGTTCAGGCTGCTGTCAAACTCATGGCAATCTTCCTGCCTCAGTTTCTCAAGTGCTGGGATTAAGGTGTGTGCCATCATGCCTGGATCAAAAGGAAATAAATCTTAATGCTAAAAAAAAAAAAAAAACCTTAATCATATTCTCCTAAAAATAGATACTTTTCCTCCAAGGCTAGATATTATTTGCAGGTGGCTGTTACAAATTTTTCTTTGACAAATGACACATCTGTGGTTGCCTTTTATATAACATTATTAGATTTATCCAGTTTAGAATACAGCTATATTAAAGAGCGGTTTAATAAGCAGTCACATGAAAAAGTTATATCTTGGACTGCCATTCCAAATGTTTCAGGTTTTCAAAACATATGCCTATTTGCTTATATATTTGAAATTTTTAAAAAAATTTTTGAAGTTGCTTAATATTTCCTAAGTAGGTTTTTTCTTACATTATTTGGGTCACACACCTTTCAGATACAGAAAAGCTATATATGATTGCAGAGTACATGAAATACTCTCCTTTCTTCATTGAGCTTGTGAAAGATACATCTTTTGATTTCCCATTTTCAAGTGACTTCTACAATTATATATTTTTGACATTTTATTTTAAACACTTAAAAAATGACAGTTTTATGTTCTTAATACTATTCAGTTGTGGTAACCTATGAAAGGATGGTATAGAATATAGACACTGTTGGCATGGCTAACCTTTTAAAAAGTTGTAGTATAGCTCCTTAGTAACTGCAGGGACTAATTATAAAACATGAAGCTGAGCTTGTAACTTTGATGTTCAGTGCTTTAAAAATGTTAATTGTTAACATTAAAATGCATATTTCAGTTACAGATGTATGGCATTTCTATATAGGATGCTGCAGAAGACTATCTGCCTAGACATTTAAACTAGTGTATATAAATCTATTTAATTATTGTAGTTGAAAGTATTCAGAAAGCCTGAAAAAATGTAAAACATTGATTCTTGTCTCCATATTCTAAAACTACAAAAAGCATTATTATAGTAAGTTGAAATTTAGTGGACTTTTTCTTGTGACTTGTATTTGAGTCTTTTCACATCACAGTTGCAATGACTCAGGAAAAAATACTGTGAGATCTAGTGAGGAGGGAGAGGGCAGTAAGAGGACATAAAGTTACTACACCTAAAGAATAAAATTATGATCCTTATTTCTATTTCATATTTTAGTTGACATTGTGAACATTTTTGTGGTATTCATGTCTTCAGAATTATATTAGTGAAGTTTAGGGAAGAAAATTGTAGTCTATTGATCTTTTGCTTTTATTTAGATTTTCTCCATTTTAATAATGTTCTGAAAGGTGCTTACATTTTCTGAATGATCTGTGTATTTTGATATATAATTTCACTAATCACTGTAGTTTTCCCATATGTATTTTTGCATTCATATGTATTATCGTAGGAAGGCTATCCAACTTTTGACTCTGTTTAAGTCTTTAACCAACCAGAAACTCATGCAGCACTTAAAATCACTTTTGCAAGGCAAAGCTTTTCTCTTAACACACCTCCTTTAGTTGCTTTACAATTGACAGTAAAAAATAAATGAATATAGCAGTTTTTTTTTTTTTGCAACTGTGGTGTGCTAGGATTTTATAAGCTAGTAATATGGCCTTAAATGAATTATTTCAACTTAAATTCAAGAAATATTTAAGAAGTACTTTACAGTTGATAAAGTTTTTATATGTGAAAGGAGATTTACGTTGTTTTATCATTTAGGCAGGTCTAGCATTCTTAATGTCACTACTTTAAAGTGAGGATAAACTGTGTGTTTTTATAATAAGAAATGAGTTTCTTATTCACGTGGACTGTGTAGTAACTTTTTGGTTAATGGTATATTTAATAAAAAAAATCAAGTAGAATACTCATCCAGTCTTACTATGTATATTTTTATAATCAAGACCCTAAAATATATGCTTAGAATTTAAAATGTTTTGATATTAACTATAAGAATGAAAATATTAGTCTAAAATAGGTTACTCAGTATTGTTACTTTATTTATTAATTCACAGAAAGGTTTTAAACATACACCATTTTTTGGATCTGGTTGGGGGCATTCAAATATACAAATATGATTAAGACAGTGCTTTCATTCAGGCTACTGGAGAGAGAAATAACTGCTTAGATGTTTGTAATTTACTGTGGTAAGTGTTGTGTCATGTGCACCCATATATCAGACTAAAAGTCCATTTTAGGAGAAGGGCCAGCTTTGTAAAGAACATTTGTGAGCTGAATCTCACAGGTTAAGATTGGGGTCAGTTTCTCTCTGGTGCTAGAATGAAAGGACAAGGCATGGTGTTTACCAAGGGTTGCACAGCAGCATGCTTTATATGAGAACTCCCAGAAGCAGATGCATTAAAGGAATTTGGATGCTGAGAGCATTAGGAAGTACATGCCGGGTTTGGTTCTGTATTTCTTGAAGAAATCTTTTGCTTTCTGCATTTATCCAAGAAATTTAATACTCAGTAAATAGTTGAGTATTTGAAAAATTTAACAAGGGAGATTTTAAAACCAATTTTGTCTTTTGATTAAGTTAATAAATACGTACTGTTTACTATGGACTGGATATCTTACCAGGTATTTTTCTTTAAAGTTTCTTCAACTAATGTGCTAAAAGTTGCTGTTCAAACTCAAATATAAAAGTAAAAAATAGAAACTTGCTATGATACTTTGAAGTGGTAGAGAATCACAATGGTGTATCTGTACTTGTGTGGTACTGATCTGAGAAACAAATCCAGTGAATTTTTTAGTTAAGTGCTTTGAAATAAAAACTAGAATCTTAAGAGTTGAAATTGTCATCATGTGCTTTCTCTGTTGTCCACACAGAAAGATATGTAAACAGGTAAGAAGGAATGGTTCTAAAGAGATCTGTTATTCATGTTACCTTGACATTCACATGCTGCCAGTCAAATCTTTATTATTTTTAATAAAGGTAATTTAAAACATTCTAGAATTTCTTTTGCAAATCAGTACATGTGAAGGGAAGTGGTATATGAAAGATATTCTTTACCATAATTGCTGGGATTATATATCCTGATACTCTCATGCTGTTTCTTTTCATAGACAAATTGATGGTAAACCAGAGAGGCCTTCAGTAACATATGCAACATATCAAGGGCCCAGACAAATTAAGAAATACTTAAAGCAACATAACATGTTGGAAACTGTGAATTCCTTAGACAGAGAAAATGAAAGTTCTGACTCCAGTACAGACACATGCATCGACCCTGGAAGCCAAATGAAGGCTGGGATAGCACTGCTGTCGTCAGAAAACATAGACATATCCATGGAAACCTGTTTGCTTGGAGACCCACTAGAAGACAGTAATTACAACAAAACAAATCTCAACACAGAAGTCCATCTGACATACAACCCAGAACTTAAGAATATTGCCACTCTTAAGGATGTTTTAAATAAAAATGATCCTGGGACACCTGAGAAAAGTCAGTCATACTCTTCTGTGTCTGACTCGAGCTATACTGTTGGAGAATCTGCCTTACAGCACCATTTAAATTGCATATCAGTTTCTCAGACTGACAGAAATTTGGTGTGTGCAGCATCATTTACAGGAAATAGGAGTAGCAAAGTTCATTGTAGTGCAGAATTTCAAAGGAAAACCTCAACAGAAAATATTGTGAGGGAAAACTGCTCTCTGATGAATGATGGGCCACTGTTGCAAAGAGAAGAGCACACTGATCCTCAGAGACCTGCTGTTTCTGATTTCTCTTGTAGTATATCTGATGAGAGTGACACTACCAGACTGGAAACTACAAATTTGTCCACTCTGAATAAATCAATTAGTAATGAAGATCTGCAGTTGCCAGAGAATGAATGTTCTGACAAGCAGACTGTAGATAACTCATCAGTGCAGACTGCCAGTGATGAGAGCACTTTTGCTCTCCAGGGGCATCCTGTGACAGACACAGAACTTGGGAATGAAGGAAAGAAATGGTCTGCCCAAGACTCACAGAATTTGGCCTTTACAGAAATAAAGCAAGAAACAGAAAGTACCTCGACTGGTGAATCCGTGATTCCAAATCATATAAAAACTCCAGAAGACAGAATTGAATCATTATCCAAAGATAATGACCAATTGTTTGAAATAGAAACCAAAAAACTTGATTTTGGGCCACATGACAAGTCTCATATTACAAATCAAATAAATCACAGTGATCTTGCACCTGTAAAACTCAAGAGTGAATCATCAGTAGTAACATGCTTAGAAAATAAAGTAGCACCTAAACTGAATGTTGAGTTTAATAGAAATCATGATTCTCAACCTCCTCTTTACTCTGAGAATTTTCAACAAGCCAGAGGATCACCTGGTGATAAAACATCTCTTGGTCTTGACTGTAAAAAATCAAATTTTCATACTTTACCTTCTGCCTTTGTTTCTGGAAGTAGCATAGTGAGTAACCTGGATATCCCTGTTTTAAAGAATGAAGGGTTTTCTGTGCCTGTTAAAACTGAAAATGCCAACATTGTTCTTTCCCATTATCTTAGTAAGTGTTCAGAAGAAAATGTGGCAAATAATGTTGAAACTTTAGACAGGAAGAGTCCTTCTCCCTTTCACCTTGAACATGCATCTAAAATTCTTGAATGCAAGGAAGTGCAAGGAAGTGCTGAAACCTGTGGCACTCACTCACCTGGGATGGACCCACTGAGCTTTGAGACTGGAAACTCCTCTAAGGATCATATCTGTGTTTCACTTCAAGACTCTAGCAAAGCAGAATTAGTGCCTTCGAATGTTTCAGTAACTGAGACCATCATAGAGAAATCTAGTTCTCTTTCTTTGGAAACCAAAACTGATATCACTGCTAAAATTTCATCAAAAGCTGAGGTTGATGGTCAGAACAGAGCTCCTCTTGTTGCACATCATGGAAAAGGAAAATCTGTATCCTTGTCAGAGGTATCAGTTTCCCAGGTGGAACCCAAAGACATTTTTCAGGATAAAATTTGTTCTTCTCTGTTAGAAATTAGAAATGAGCCAGCAAAACCCATTTTGTCAGAATTAAGTTCTACAGAGTTTAAACAGGACAAAATTTCTCAATTCACGGAGTGTAAGGGAAAACATTCAGATGCTGGTTTTGAAGACTGTTGTGAGGCTGAGGTGTCTTCTGCTTTCAAGCATCAACACCTACGAGAAACAGAGGGAGACGCCTTAGGTGATCCTCCTTCTCTTCTCAAAAATAATCTACCTGGAGTTTTACCTCCAGATCAAAAGGAGGAAGTCACTAGGAATATGGCTCAAAGTTGTGATGCCAATCCTTGTATGATACATCACTCTTTGGATATCTGTGGGACTAAAAAGTGCTCTGATCTCTCAGAAATGGTAGAACTTGACTTAACTAAAATTTCTTCAGAGTTCCAAAGCACACAAGTAAATTCACCTTTTCTGGGTTCCAGTATCAATTTGAAAGGTAATATGTTTACATGTGAGGATTCTGACTTGCTTAATATGTCTTCTGAATTGACAGCAGAAAGAAAACCCTTATCTTACAGGAAGAGAGAAAACATTCATTTGCTGGGTGATGGGATTGATAGTCCATCTTCTCCCACTCATCACTCTGAGGAAGTTAGCATGGTTATGAATTCACATAGTACTTCAAAAAATTTCAATTCTGTGCAAGTTACCAGAGATCTCAAATGTGAAGGTGCCTCTATAAATAAGTCCCTGGACTCCAGTAGCTCTTATTTGGAACTAGAGACATTTATCCCAACAGGGGCAGAAGTGACCCTGTTTCAGGAAAATGTTGGGATTTGTATTGGTACAGTACTTCCTGATTTCTCAAACACTGCTCAGTTTGACAGACCTCTGCAAGCAGGGATGGAAGCAGTTGCTGGAGCCTCAGTGTCAGTTAACAGCTCAGATCAGCAGTGTTCTGAATCATCTGCTGAGCACTCAGAAGCAAGGAGAAGCATACATGACCAAGTTTTGGACCTGAAAAGTGATTTGCTCAAAAAGGCTGATACATTTATTGAAGAGGTTTTTCATTCTGTCAGGGAAGAAGTAAAATCTACACAAACAGTTGGTACTTGCCAGGAGCACATAGCCATAGATGGTGTAATGAATTCAAGTACCCGAAAAAAAGGCATCCCTGAGAAAAACCCATCAGAAGTGGCATTAACAGAAATCCAACAGAAAGACTGTTTGAAAGATCAGGGCATGGAAAACACGTCAGAAGCTGAAGAACAGAAGGACTGTGTTTCACCTACTGTTGGTGAGACAAGTCTCCTTTTTTATTCCGATAGAATGAATGTGTCTTGTTTGTTAGAAGATCAAGCTAGAGAGTTAGTCAATAAAGTTATTTGTTCAGCCCAAGAAACTTTAAGATTTGGTGCTTTTGAGGATATTGACAGTACTTCAGATTCTGAACTTCAGGTTAACACTTCAAAAATTCTGAAAAGTGATAGTGTTAACCCACATGATATAGTTAGGGAGTTCTTGGTATCAGAAAAAGCAATAAATCAAAGCACATGTGAAATTAGTGAAAATAAAATATTGAATAGATTCTTATCCATAGGTAATTTAGTTAGTGGCACAGAGTCAACTAAAGAAAGAGAAATTGTTGTTTACCAAAAATCCTCAGTTTCTGGAAAAGGAGCTGGAAAGTCTGACAGTATAAAATTGCAGAAATCAGGTACTATTTTACTGGCTGAAGACATGTCCAATGAAGGATTAGATGACAGGATAAAAACACAGTTATTTGTTAATAAGAAGTATAAAGAAACAACAGGAATAGAGGATATAGATAATTACAAAACTGGGACAGATGATACAGGAACTCTTGTGTTAAATTTCAGGTGGCCTTCATTTGGGAATAGTGACATGCATGCACCCAGTACATCCAAAAGCAGTTTGTCTGATAGTCTTGTATGTGTATCTGAAAAAAGCTTGCCAGGACATAGTAAAAACACACCCCTTGTACTGTCAGAAATAGGGAAAGTACACAAAAAGGATAATGAAGGAAAAATTGACCACATAGCTTCCATGTTAGAAATGGGAAAAACAAACAAAAGGGATGCCGAACTGAACATTGCCAAGCATGAGGTAGACCCTCCTATGTTAGACACACAGAAAGCATGTAAAAAGAAAGCTGAGTTTAATATTACAGAAGTTGAGTCAGAATCTCACTTTTTTAAAATGGAAGAAGCATACCAAATGGATGTTGCACAATGTATTGAAAAACCAGAGGGACTACCTGTCGCTTCAGGAATGGAAAAAGCTTACCAGATGAAGAATCCTGAAGGGGCCACTGGGAGAACCGAGGTGATGATGCCTGTTGTGTCAGAAAGAAAAAATAACCACCCAAAGGATGCTGAAGGGGATATTGTAAAGAGTGAGGTGACACCTGTTACAAGAGAATTGGAAAGTAATTACCAAAAGCATGCGGAAGGGGATGTTGGCAAGACTGCAGTAACATCTGTTACATTAGAAGTAGAAAATACCTACCAAAAAGATGCCAAAGGGATTACTGAAAAGGCTGAAGTGGTAGCTGTTACATCACAAATGGAAGACATTTATCAAAAGGATGGGGAAGGGAGTATTGCAAAAACTGAGGTGACACCTATTGGATTAGAAATGAAAAATATTTACCCAAAGAGTACTGAAAAAGATATTAAAAACACTAAAGTGACACCTATTACTTTAGATGTAGTAAATTACCAGAAGGATGCTGAGGGACTCACTAGAAAGAGTGGGAGCCCAGTGCTGGAACTAGGAACTACTTACCAAGAAGATGCAGAAGAGGTTATTAGGAATGCTGCAGTGGTACCTTTTGTATTAGATGTGAGAGAAACACACCAAAGAGCAGCACATATCTTTGTAGAGATAAACAAAACTTGCAGGAGTGATGCTGAAGAGACCAGTGGAATATTTATGTCGATACCTTCTAAGATGGGAATGGAAGTATCATCCCCAGAAGATCTTGATGAAAATATTGGGCAGTGTGAAGTATCCACAGTAGACATTGAGAAAACACATGGAACAAAACTAGAATTGACCACTACACAAGTGGAGGCCATGCCTTCCATATTTGAAACTGAAAAGATACCTCAAGAGCATGCAGAAGGGAGTGTTGGAGAAATAGAGGAAGAACTCACTGAAATAAAGGAAGGCTTGATACTGCATGCTGATAGACTTGCATCACACTTCAAGGGGTATGAATCACCTACATTAAGTAAGGATTATGAGGGCTACCCTGCCTTAGCAGTGCCAGAGTTTCAGCCGGAAGATACAACAGTAAGGCTCAATGAAATGATGTCTGTTTCTGTAGTATATGATAAAAGGAGAGAGCAGGATTATAGCAATGAAAAGGAAGAATCTAATTTAGCCTTTGTTTCTCAGGAAGAACAAGATAATTCTTCCTTTACTATACTGTATGAGGAGCCCCTTCAAGATGAGAAGTACTCTTCTGTAGAAGTAAGAGGAGCACGGTCTGTCTTGTTTCCTGATATGTCTTCTGATAGCTTGCCTGTTCTGGCATGTGAAAGGTCTGAGAGTAGAACTGACCTTGTCCATTGTTTTGAAAAAGATATTAAATTAAGTGAGACATTTGATGGTGATAGTTCAGAAATGTTTTTATCAGTGGAGGCTAAAAGGTACAAAATCTATCCCTTGGCTTTGAGTCCCATTTATGAGGATGATAGCTCACAGGAGGATATCTTGTCCAATGAGGTCTCACCTGGTCACCATGGCTCCACAAAATCAAGAGAAAATGCAAACCAGTCCTCTTCTGTATTATCACTTCTCCAGTCAGTATCAGAGCGTTTAAAGATGAATTTTGATGAAGATGATAGACAAGTGACTGAAGAGGAAGAAGAGGAGGAAGAAGAAACATTGTCTAAAGGTCTCGAAGCTCAAAGGAGGGATCATGTTACCTTCCATGTGCCAGATCCTTCCATCACATTTTACCCTGATGATGGTGATGACCAGGAATGCACTGAAATTTCTAAGACTTCACGTGCAATGTCAAGTGAACCTGTCACCTGCAATCAGCAAGTTGGTCTCTGGCCAGAAAAATCTTCATTGCTACAAAAATCTGACCTTAGTTCTAAACTGCATTCTTCTTTAAAGAGTGTTTATCGTCAGTATTTGCAGACTTCTCAAACTTATTCCTCAGAAAAAGGAGCCAGATTTGGTGGAATTTTTCAGGAACCAGTCTCAAAATACTTCGGTGTTCAAGACAATCCAGACAGATTGAGCCCATTTATAGAGGTAAGTTATTATTAACTAGTGAAATACAGCTTTGGGTCATGAAATTATTTAAAATCTTTAAAAAAAAATCAGTGTTCTGGGGTTGTATAAAGTGTTTTTAAAAATCAAGTTATTTGATATGTATCAGAATCCATGAGCCTATCATTACATTGAAAAAACAAAATTGCTTGCTCAGATTTTCAAAGGCTTAGCAGAGAAATCTGTTATTTCAGTTTTTAACTAACATTTTTCAAGCTAAAGTGATAACATTGCAAAATTCTAAAGGTAGTGTATGTGTAAGAGTTATACTTTCTGTTTAGGTTATGTGTGTCATGAGAATAATTTGCTTGACTTCTCATATAAAGCAGGGTGATAAGCTGCCTGATTTGAAGAAGAGCTAAAAATAGTATGACGCAAATCTAGTTTTCTTTACTTTTCCTTTCTTTTTGGGGGGGATGTTTAGAAACATTTAAGTTTATAGAGTAGAATATCCATTGAACATTGGCCCTACCTTTCTGGCATCCTCAAGATCATGGAATTTTCTTGAGGATTCTCAAACCTTGTATCTTGATCTTAAACAGCCTTACTGGAAAATAGTAATAATACTTGAATAAAGTAAAATCAGTTTAGAAAAAATCAGATTTAAAATAATGTTTCTTTCATAATGCCCATTGCCTACAAAATCAAGTGGAACCTCTTCACTGTGATTATAAAGCCCTCAAGTTTTGTTTGGTCTAACTTTGCCTCCCTACGCTCTGGTTACACATTCTGTATTTCTTACCGCTGTACTTTGTTCTAGTGTCCCTATTCCAACCTGACACTTTTTGTTTTATTCATTTAACAATTATTTTTTAAGATCCTTCATTACTATTTCCTCAAAGAAACCTTTTCTAAACCTTCTTGTCCTATCACCTTACCTCCATGCTAGTCTCATTTTTATAACCGGATATTTTCTTTTTATTTTACCTGTGCATTTAATTAGTCTTTCCTGTAGAAATTACTCAAGTATGATCATCTGTTTCCCCTGAATCAGTAAGTCTTAGAGGGCAGTGATACTCTATTACTTACCTGCTTATTTGCCTTCTGTGCTTTATATCTAGAGAAGCATTTTGTTCATAATGGTCCCTCAGCAAACTGCACTTATGATTATTAAGAATCATTACTGTATATCTATTTCCACTGATGTTTCTTAAGGCTTATGTTTTCCATTTCTATTATTTCAGAATGTTGACAAACAAACTCTGAAATGTAACCCACGACCTGGGAAGGTAAGCATAACTTTCTAAAGTAGACTAAGATGAAAGCTGAAAAATAAGTTTACTTTTAAGCTTGGTGAGTTTAACAAATTTTTTTAACTGACTTAGACAATTATTTTTTAACCCAAAGATTTAATATCTGAAGCAATTCTTGCTTTTACATCAAGAATATTTTTGAATTTTAAATGCATTCTTAAAATTATGCTTACCTCCTTTGTGTTGCAGATGATTATCTATGATCTCCATGAACATAAATATAAACAAGAGATCTACCGTAACGTTCCTGATGCTACAGCATGGGCTTTTCCAAATGGAGTGTTGATAAAAGTTGTAAGAGGCTGGTAAGATATTGCTTAAAATTGCATAGCTGATTTTCTAAAAGAGTGTCTTCTAGCATGTATGCATTTTATATGTTTATTACAGTCATACTTCTAGTTTTTTTATAGAATGTTTTGTAACATCATTAGTGTTTTGTATGTTCTTTTTATTTAGTATGGCAGAAAACACAGACTGATTTTCGTACACAAACTATCATCCATGCATTCTCTTTCTGTAGTACTAGAAAGTTACTCTTGGCAGGTAGACTTTCATGCTTCAGTTGAATGAAGCATAACTTTAAAAATGAGCTCAGAATTTGTGGAATGCTAAAAAAATATGAGGACCAAATATAGTCGTTTGCATAGCTGACATGCTCAAGAAACAAAGAATTCCTTGTGTAATCTAAAAATTAAGGAAAACCTTATTTGTTATTTTGGACCATTGGCATGCTCGAATTAGAATTTCTTTGTGTAGTGTTTATTTTAACACCTGGTGGGTATTCATATTGTAGGCAGTTTGATGTGTTGTGTTCACATGTATTATTTAGCAAAATTAGGGTGGAAGTGTGGTTTGGAATCATTAAATTATTTTTAATGTTAAGCTTTGTGTATATAATATACATAAAGTTACACATATGATAAATACAGGGGTTAACTATTGTGGTATTCTTTGCATTTAAGTTAGCCTATGTTATTACTTTAAATAGCAGAATTGGCTAATATAGGAAGATAGCTCAGGTTAAAATATTTAAGTAGATAAATTTTGATGATCTAAGTATCATTTGTTTTATGCTTCGTTTCTTAGAAACTTTAATATAGTTGATCATTGCACTTATATTTGTTTAGCTGGATTTTATATGAGAAACCACATTTCCAAGGCCAGAAATGTGTGTTAGAAGAAGGAGAAAAGGTGTTAAATCGTGACTGGATTCTTCACAACAGAAAGCACCCACAAAGAAACTTTGCATTGGGTTCTATCAAACGAGTCCTAAAGGTAACAAAACTGTTAATGTTTTTCTTTGTTTTTGTTTTGTTGTTGTTGTGTTACTGGGTATTGAATCCAAAACGTTTCAGACATGCTACCAATGAGCTATATTTTTGCCTATTTTTATAATTTTCTTATATAGTAAAGCTGTGGTGTGGCCTAGTAGTACTTAGAAATAGTTGCTAATATTTGTGCCAGTTTCATTAATCTTTATTATTATATTGATCACTTTGAAATTTATACATATAAAATATTGGAATGAATTATAATTTAGAAAGTTGGATTAATGTCCATAAAATGCAACATGATATAACATGTTTACTTTTTTGTAATATTAGTAGTATACTATCTATGATCTTTAGAAAGAAATCTAGTATTTCCAAATATATCTTTTTCTGGTTTGGATTGCTACTCTTTGATATAGCTGAATGTGTGTGTTTGTGTGTGTGTGTGTGTGTGTGTGTGTGTGTGTGTGTGCGTGTGTGTGCGTGCTATGGTATAGAAGAACAGAAGAGAAGGATTAGGAAAGGATGCTAAGGTATTGCTTTTTTGTTTTTTGTTTAAAACATGCTATTGATGAAGAAGGTTTCCAATATAATAAAACGTTTTGTGAGAGATTCTGTGGTGTTTTACAGGAGGGGTAAATTAATGATAAGGGGGTTCTCATGTATTCTTTTTTTTTTTTTTTTTTTTTTTGTCTTTTTCGTTTTCATCGGTACCAGGGATCAAACTCACGACCGCCTGCTTGCAAGGCAGGCGCTTACGCCGCTGAGCTAAATCCCCAGCCCCTGTTCTCATGTATTCTTAACATTTCTTTTCAGTAACATATGATATAATGCAGTCATTCATTTGAGAGTCGTGGATACATCTATTTTCAAAATACTTTTATATTTTAAAAAATACGAATGGTTTGAATCAAAACTATGAATGACTTGATGTTACTTTATTTAGTATTAGTATCTATGGAAAAAACATTTAGAAAAATTGAAGGTTAGCACACGAAAAACTCAAGTTAATCATAAAGGTATGTGTGTATGTATTTTACATGAATCAAAACTGTAAAGAAATGTATATCAAACAAATACTTGTGTTTGCCTTTGAACCTAATATGATAGAGAGCAGGGAATGGAGATATAGGTGAATAAGGTCCTTTACTCTAAGTTGCAAAATAAAGTTTCGCTAGAAACAACTGAGTTACCTGACCATAGCACAAGGGAAGAGCTTCACACCATGAGGGCACACTGCAGAGAGGTACCTCATGGCATAGAGAGTGGCACCTCACCTGGAGGAGGTGGCATGTGGTTGAAATCTTGAAAAATAAATAGGCATTTGTATGACAAATGTGAAGGAGTTCTGGCAGGGCCATCTTTGTTGGTTCAGTGGTACTAAAGGGTAGATTAAGAATCCTGAAGCAGCGAGGGCAGTGCCTACTATTAAAAGATTTTCTGTGATCCTTCAGTTCTCCAAGAGTATTTGAGTGCCACTTAATTAGCTGACTTACTGGAAATTCCTTGGAAAGAATAGTTTGTAGATGGACTCTCCTGGGATTGGTATAATCTGTGCTTTTGTTTCTTTCCTGTGAATATCAGGTACTGTGACAAGCCCAGTGGGAAAACAAGACAAAACAAACAAAAAGATTTGGCAGTTATCTACCCTTCCAGCCCTTCTAAAGTCATACAAGAATCAAATCAAGCAAATTTATTCTGGTGATGATAGATACGCAAAAATTTATATAGCCACTATTGGCTTAGAATATATTATAAGAAAAAAAACCATGCTTGCATTTTTTTTCTTGTTTGCTCTTCACAGTCATTTTGTTTTTTAGTCACAATGCTCGTGCTGATGTCTTGGGCAGACTAAGTGAGGAGGGAAAATAAGACTATTAAGCTTTAAGCAGAAAAGGCAATTACCATTGCTTTAAATATAAAGTAACTGACACACTCTGCTCCCCTTTTTCCAGCCTTGTCCAAATCCAGCCTTTGGATAACTGCATTTTCATGTTGCTGTCACCATCCCCCACTTGTCTAGGCCTTTATTCATCTGTCTTACATCTTGGTTTTAGCTGCTGTTGTATAGGTAGCTAAAGCTGTCCTTTAAAGATGACATTGCTATGATGTTGTCACTTGGTTGTGAACAGGTATAGAAAGTACCTTCAGTTTTCAGAAACTCTGGATTGTACTCAAGGCTCATCATTGACCCTATCACTCCCAGTGAAAGGAATTGGAAATGAGGATGACAGTGCAGTGACTCTTGACCTAAGTATTTTCTTTTCTCATATTAGGATAATTGAAGGTTTCAAATTAGCATGTTTACTGTGCATTTAATGACATTTTTCTTATGACAGAAATTATGCAGGCTGTGCCCACACTAATGAGCCAAGTAAACAGAAGTCCATTGTTAGATCAAAGACTTAAGATGGAAATAAACAGATGTTTCCATTTGTGCTGCTATAATTCTTTTCTACTCTGTTTCTCTTCTATAACTTTGTCCCCATTTGTACTAATTGTTAGAATGGTCCAAGCCTATGAGTTTCAGCCAGATATACCATATTTGGAAAGTGTAGTATGATTAGAAGAGTTTGGGAGGAAGCCAGTAAACTGTTGTAAAGTTACTTTCAATCTTCTGAAGTAAAAATTGGGCTTCTTGTAAAGGTAGCTGAGAACATATACCTTCTTATTTTTATTTTCAGTTTTTAAGCTGTCATTATGTTTTTATTGCTGTGCTGTTTCCTTCTGTTTTGTAGACATGAATGCCTCTTAGCTTTTTCCCTTTGAAAGTACACCACCCAAACATTGTTTGTATAATACAATACAGAGGAAACTTGTTTGTGTGAGACACTTAGTTATGTATTCTGTTACTGTATCTCAGATCCCTGGGGGAACATTAATATGGAAGTATTTAAAATAATGTTACTAGAGCACTATTATTAATAGCATACAAAAGACCATGAAAGATTGACAGGTGACTGTTCTGGAGATTTCTGGCTGTTTTTGAAATGAAACTTCAAAAGGAAATACACTGTTGTATGCTGTACATTATTTTGTACAGCATTATTTTGTACATATTCTAAAGGATAATTTAAACTATCTTTGTTTAGTATATTGTACTTTATAACTAACTATGAAAATATGTATATATTTCCTTTATTTTATGTATTTTTTAAGAGTAGAATAGCATATAGGGCGTAATAATGTACATGTGTAAGCTGCTGTTATTTTAATGGTTTGTTTATACTCAGCATTGTTTTTTGGCCTAAAAGTCATCACTTTGGCAAGATAATTATATCATGTACTAGTAAAATTTGAGTTTTAGGTTCTACATTGTTGTATATAAACAATGAACAGTATTTTCATATTCTAATTAACATCATAAATCACTTCATATATTTGTGAAGTTGAGAACTCACTTTGGGGAAAGGTTAAAGACTGTAAAAATTACAGTTTTAAAGTTACAGAATTTATAAATATATAGTTCAGTTTCTAATAATGCCACCTGCGATAGTTATTGCATTTAACTATTTCATTAAAGTGTATTAATTTGAATTTCAAAATATCATAGATGAAAATTATGCTACTAAACTTGAGTAGTATAGTTAAACCTTCTTGAGAACTTAGGTAGTATACTCAGAAGGATATCTAATTTCAGAGAAGGGGAAAATAATTGTAATGTTTAATTTCATAAGGAAGAATAAGATTTGTTTGTTTATTTATAACTTGAATGCAAAGAATTATCTCTTTAGTTGTGATAGAAACACCTCCAGAGCTTACAGAGGCCAGGGTCTGAGTAGAGATAGCATGGCATCTAATACACTGCAGAGTTGTGGGAAATGAGTATGAAAGGCAAACAGAAGTATGTATTTGATTTGATTAGATCTTGAGCCAAGAAGTGTCACAAGAAAAGAGGTGCTGTAAGCTGTAAAAAGAATTGTTGGTGCTTGACTAGTGGTTGTGCCTGAGGCCCTTGTTGAAGTTTAGAGAAAGATGCACAAGTGAAATTTTAAACGAAGGTTTCACAGGACATAGTAACAGTGAGTGCCTATTACTCAGAACGTGATGAAGTATGGTCAAACTTCATAATACCTTTCTTCATGAAACCAGCTTGCACTAAACAATGTGGAGTCTTACAGCTAGGAAAACAGATTTCCTTTACCCTCACCTCTAATTCCTACTTCTTTTGTCAGGGTGAGTTAGGTAAACACACAGAGTGTATAGTAACTCTTTATTTTTTTATGACCCTCATGAGATCAACTTTTGTTTAACTCCCTTCCTCCCTCATGGCTTTGTTATGCACCTAAAAAGGAAGGCTTATGAACCCTTGGCACTCAGATCCTTTGGTAACTGAACATTGCTTAATGAAATAAGTACTTAAAGAACAAAGCAGGAAAAATTGGGACAATAAGTTTTCCATCAATAATATTTAATTTTCATGTTAACATGACTTATTTTAACAAAACTTATTTTAAACAGTGATTAAGAAACAACAATATTTCCTTTATGATGTTTTTGTGAGGAAATTCAACTGAACAATGAGAGTAATTGTATGTCCAGGATGTTGAGAATACTAGCCTGTGTGTCTCTAAATGATTTCAAAGTCAAATTATTCTTGTGTTCAGAACTGCAGCATTCCAGAGATAGAGCTTCACCCACAGTCTGACCCAGCGTACTCTCCTATGCACATACAGAGAGCAGTTCCAGACTTGGAAGCATTGAAAATCTCCAAATCCGTATACTTCACTGTGAAATCAGGAGTGTATGTATCAGTTTCTCCTTATTATAGTGATTGATGGCTACCTGCTTTAACAGGTGTTTCATATTTCAGTAGGTAATGTACATAGTTCTGAAGTTTTAATCAATTAATTTCACTGATGTCCTGGATACTCAGGAAAGACTATTACAATATTTTGTCTTTTTGTGGATCCAATTAAGACTTTGATGTATGAATCAAAGGAACAGGTGTAGAATACTCAGACATATTTCTTGATAGATGGACGGATTGACTTCATCCAACATATTTTGGAATTGAGAAATAAAAACTTGCCCCTGACCTAAAGTTCTGGAGACTAAACTATTTCAAGAATGTCCTAAGTGCTAATGCCTCCCAGTGCCAGTCACATATCCCTTTTTTGCTTATTATTGCTCTTTTCCTGAAAGCAGACAGTGTTAACTTCATATTCTAGATGAGTGATTTGCCCCAGGCTATTAGCTGTCAGCACTGACTTGAAACCAGACCTTTCTGATTCTAAAGGTTATCTGTAGGACCATACTTCTGAGTTCAGACTTAGTTCACCTCAAGATAGTCTCAAATTGCAAAACCGTGGATGCCTGACTCAGTGGATCTCTTCTGTGTTTCATTGCTTCTGTCTGCTCCAATTCTGGGATAACTATAGGACAAGTTTGTCTCCTGCAACCATTAATTAAACTCTTGGACAGGCTTCATAATTGACCCTATTCATGAGAAATGTATGTAATTATCACATTTGGTTGGGAAAGATGCAAGTTTGGAGGAATCTTATTTTCCCATACTGTTTCTGAGGCCGACAGCAGAACCAACAATGATTCAGAATATAAAATGTCTAGTTTAATCTCTCCCTCATTTTGTTCCAGTTTTTAAAAAATGAGATATGGTGGAATAGTTTTGAATTTTCAGGTATATTTGCTTGAATTAAAGTTCCTACATGTTTTAGGTTTTAGAAAATTTAAGAAAAATAATGTACAGCATTATTTGACAGATGGAAAACATGTTGTTGACTCTTGTTGTGTGCCTTTTGGCTCATCCCTTTGGGTGTGTTTTACTGATATAATGCAGCAATGGAGAATGTTTCTTTTTTTCTCTCGGTAGTCCTTTTTACTCTTATTGAGTCAGACAAAATGATTCCTGTTTAACCAACATTTATTTCTTATTTAGTTGGCTTGCCTACCCAGATATTAATTTTAAGGGTCAAGCTACAGTTTTAGAGGAAGACCATGGGCTCTTTGAGATTTCTGCAGCAGAAATGAAGTCATTACATCCACTTCAAATGGTAAGCAAATTAAAAGGAAGCATGTGTTTTTCCAAGTATGCATGAATCCAAAATTAAATAACTGTGATGATTGTTCATGTGTTGGGAAATAAACGTTTTCTACTGAATTGGGAAACTATTTAAACATTGTTTTTCTGTTTATATTGTAGGGACTGTGAGTTTACTTTTTGTTTCACCAAGTTACTCAAAAAACATGCAGTTTCCTTAGAAGTATATTTCTGTGAAAATTCTGATTATTTAATACAGTCTTGAATGTATTTTGTTGGTGATCATTAGAAAATTACTGGTAGTAAATTATACTCTTCCACTTCATCAATGAATGATAAGCTCAGCATTAATAATAAATGGGAAGTTCTGTCAGTGCTTTCTTTCCTTTAAGTCAGAAAAGGTCTGCCTACAGACCTTTTCTGGTTGTAAATCTCTTCTGAGAGGCAGACTGTTTAACAACATTGATTGTGTAATAAAATATTTTGGCTGTTCTGTGCCTTTTTAAACAATGTAAACCAGGCCAAAATAAGAAATTCGACAAATATCAATACAGAGTAGCATTTGATACAAGAAAATTACAGAATTAGGGATTTTATGAGGGCAGGAATTATTGTTTATGTTATATAACCTGATGTCACAAATACATGAAGTCTGATTTTCAAAAGTGTTGCTAAAATTTGGAATAGGAACTGTGGATAGCTCAATGATCTCCTTGAAACTTCAAATAATTATAAAGGAGATATTTGAAAAATCAGTTTAAAAATCTGTTCTTCCAAATGTGATTTCTAAGTCTACTAATAATTCCTCTCTTTTGTTTGAGGCAATATGCACTAGGATTAAATCTTTAATTGGTCACATGTATTCAAGGACTAAACTTCAATTTTCTTCTTTGTAGTTGTAATCCAGAGCCTTTTTAAAATTGTCCACTATGTTGACATAAAGCCACCTAAGTTTAAATCTACTATAGTTTTGTATTTAAAATATACATGTAACTTTAATTTGACTGGTATGTATTGTTCACTAATTAGACTTTACTAAATGTACATATGGCACTTGGTGCCTTTATTAACATACTTCAAATATTTATATACCTAACATTAAAATATCTTGTCATCTTTAGGGTGGACTAAAAGTGGAAATGCCTATGAATTTAAAGGTAAGTCTTAGACCAACTTTTATAGTGAGCTAAAATAAGACTGAATACTAATTTTTAAGTATTTTGAATTACTAGAATAAAACAGTTATCTGAATCTATGATGGTACTTAGCTAAAACTTGCTGGGAAGTGAATAAAATGTTTCCTAAATGGCAGTTGAGTCAGGATACAATGGAAGTCTGTACTGTCAACTCACCCAAGTCCAAGGGCCTGCACTGTGGCAAGGTGTTAGATTTGACTGGACAAGTGGTTGTGATAGCCGCTAGATACCTGAGTGATGATGCTAAACATTGGCTTATAAGTATAAATACCTAAGGAAAGAGTAGAGGCAATGAAAACTGGTAATAGTGGTATCGGGACCAAGCACATTGGAGGAAGGAGAGGGAAAAAAATAGAATTATGAAATATATGTAGAGAGAGATGTAGAAAGAAAATTGGTTCAATAATCAGAGATGTAGATAGCCTTCTTCTTATAAGTAAGAATGGCGCTTATAGCCAGGGGCAAGTAGGGAAAAAGGGATTTATCCACCCTTCTCTCCTCCCAAACTCCATACACATTCTCCAGTCCTCCTATTTCTGGGCTTGTTTATGAGAACTCATTGTCATTTTATCACATACATGGAGTCTTTTAAAACCTAAATGTTTTAGTATATCTATTATACTTTGTGTGTTGGAATCATGTATATGTAATTTTTAAAACATACTCAGGCCTGTCCTCAACTTTTAGCGAAACTATATTGGTGTAGATTGTGGACAAATATTTTTAAAACATCCAGTGTAATTTGAAAATATAACAAAAGGTGCAGTCTTTTGATTCAATAGCGGCAGACTTAGCCATGACTCTGCTTGCCTAACTTCTGTATCAGTTTCTTAGTCTGGCCAATCAGAAGTATGATAAACGTGATCTTTTTTGGGCATTTGTAGTTTGACAGATTATGCAAATATATGAATTGACTTATTATAATAATCACAATTTGAAATTGTTAGATATTAACATTGATGATGCCATAATAGTTTCCTTACCAAAGAATTGCTGTTTTTACTTTTTAAATGTAGTCATCACATGTAACATGTATTAAACACAATAAAACTTGTAGTACTTCAGATATAGCCCTATGGCAATCTACTACGTGAAAATAGCAAGATCAGTATTTTATTTATTTTATATTTTTTTCAGTCTGTATAATGTTGCCAGTTTTTAGAAATAAGAAAGCAGTATCTTTTTGCTTTAGTGTATTTCAGCATGTAGTCAAGATACTGGGTTGTCAGTTGTGCACAAATTATTCCATTAGCCACAAATAGGACTAAGTGATAAAGTATGAAGAGATTAACACTCTTACTACTATCATCACGTCCACAGATTTGGGAAGTAAGGGGCTTCTTGAGGAGTAAAAAGCAGCAAAGTAGTTTAATAAGAGGACTATGATACCAAGTCAAATTTGAAATAAATGAAATTCAATAAATTTGTTTTCTGTTATATTCATTACATTCTTCCCAAATTTGAGTCAAATATCCAGTTAATAAAAGTCATAATTTTTCTAGTCAGTTCTTATTTTTAGGAAGCTTTGTGTTTAAATTAAAAATTTGCATTTTTCCCCCCTCATGGAAGAGTAACCAAAAAAAAAAAACTGTTGCAAGAAGTAGGTTCATCAATTTTGAACTCAGTTTATGTTTTGTTATACTCTGGAACCTTTAGAGAGTTTTTATTTCTTATGAGGGAAATATGATAGATCAGAGATAGCTTTGTAGTAATTTTGAAGCATAGGAGTAAATGTATAAAAATAATTCAAAGATCAGTTATTCATAGGTTTAGACTATGAAATAGTCCTAACATTTGGGTGACAAAACAATGTAATCATACCTCAGTATGTTAATGAAAGAGAGGCGTATTTTATAGTGGTAAGGGCCCCTAAATTCTTGTGAATGTCTGACCGTATGCTATAAGAATATATTAATGAGAAAAACAATGGTCCCAATACCTGTTGTAGCTTTAGTGTTAAGTAAATTACTGTACATCTATTACGAAATATATGTATGTTAAATTTTTTTTTCGTATTTTTTAGGTTGTTATTTATGAAAAGCCTCACTTCCATGGACAGGCCAAGGAATTTAGTGAACATATAGATTCTGTCCCAAATTTTTTAAAAAATAATGAGGGCTTTCATGGAATTGGATCAATTCGTGTCATTGGTGGAGTGTGAGTATCATTTTCAATATTTGATTTAAGCAGCTGACTTTTGAAGATTATCACAGAAGCAGCCAGCCTTAACCTAAAATGTACATCCCTCTTGTATGATTGGAAGTAAAAAATACTGCTAAGGGTTTCGAGAAAGTAAGAATTGTAAGATAAAATTGTTTTTTGCAGGTTATGAACATGAGTAAGAGCCTAGTACATATGCATTAAGGATCTCTGCAGTCAGCCCTCTCTCATCAAAGGAATAATCTGGGTTATGTGTTTCCAGAGGCAAAATTTCTGACACTTGTCCCTGCACTCCTCTTACACATGCCCTTTAAGACCCTTTGGGTACAAAGTATAACCACTGTTGTTACCATCTCAGTTTCAGTCAGCAGTTACTGGAGCAGGAACACTAGAAAACAGACCAGGCTGGGCCGTGTTTTTATATTCGTGTCCTGACTGGCACATTAGACCATGAGTAACACCTCAAAACTTACTTGCTTTTGCCAGTCAAGTGCTGGAATCTCACTCATCTCACCAGAAAGAATCTCTTTTCCCTGAAGACATTGACTAGCTTGAAATGTTGATTTGTTTTAATTTTAAACCTTGATATCTCTTGATATTTAATATATCACAATGTAACTTGTTTATGCTACTTCAGCAAACAATGCTACTAAAACATTTTATTCACAGGCATTAAATTATTTATCCAGGATCATTTAAGAGCCTTTATGTACATTTGGGCATGACAGTATACACACCTATAACCCCAGCCCTTGGGAGGCAAGAGAAAAGGATTGCTTAGGGTTGAAGGCATTTTGAGCTACACAGTGAGACAAGGTCAGCCTTAAACAAGGAAGATCCTGTACAACAACGAATAACAAAACAAACAAACCATATGTACAGATTTAGAATTTAGTTTCTGGCAGTAAATTAACACCAACCAAAATGAAAATGCCAGAGACTATAGTACTCTAGATATGTAGGTCATGCTGATACTTGCTGACAACCAGTAATCACTTGGTTTTGAATTTTTAAAATTTACTTGGGATTAAAAGAACAAATATGGTTTGGATAAACACATTTTTATTGTGATATGTTTATTTGTAGTCTTTGCTGCTTTGTGAACACATAAGCTTCGTGTTAACCCAGATATAAAATATTTTTGCCTTTCCTTCTCTTTGGGGTCTAAATGTTTTTCTCATTAACTGAATAGATCTAAAATGAGTTTTCTGCTTCACAGAAATTATCCGTTAAAATTCACTGTGATGAATATTGTTATTACCCAAGTATTTTTACTGGTTTGTAAAAAATTCTCAAAAGATAGCCTGTAATGCAGTATATAGATTTCCATTTATATATAACAATTGCAGGAGAAAAATGTCCCCACTTTGGTAGCTCGGTCACATTTCCTGATTCTTCTTTGGTGAAACTTCATATATATATATATATATATTTTTTAATTTTTTGTACCAATAAATACTACTTTATTATTTTGTATTATTTCTACCATATTTTTGCTTTGTTAGCTGTTTCATTTTTCTCATTACTGTCCCATTAGGAGTCATCTAGGTAAAGTGAGATTCATGTTCTTTCTTCTGGTAATATGTATTTAAATATTCCAGGTAGACATTGACTCATGATCAAAATTTAGTCTGATAAAGTCAGACTTGGGCTGGGGATTTAGCTTAACGGCATAAGTGCCTGCCTTGTAAGCAGGCAGTCGTGAGTTCGATCCCCGGTACTGATAAAAAGGAAAAAGACAAAAAAAAAACTAAGTCAGACTTGAGAGATTTCAGGACTGATATGTAATAGATTTACTCATAATAATTCATCCCTTAACAATAATAGTATTCTATACCTATTATTTTTTCCCATTCAAATATAATTAAAAGCATATATTTAATAGTCATAATAAAAGAGCAATGGTATAGCTCAGTGGCACAAGCACCTGCTTGGCAAGCTCAAAGTTGTGAGTTTGATTTCCAGTACAAACAAAACAAAATAAAACAAAAAACTACTATTATGATAAAAGAAAACTTAGAATTTATAAGTTTTCTGTGCAGTTTATTTTTACATAGTATTTTGAGAATAATGTTTGTCTCTACATGCATTACAAATATATTAAGATGTATAAATAGGTTTTTAGGTTTATTCCCACTCACATGGATACCCTATCCTGCACCCTACCCTACATACACTCAATGTAAAGTAAGGAGAATTTAATGTCTATTAATAGGGCACTGTTACTTTGTGTACTATAAAAATAAGTTTTTGGAATATTTTTATAATATTTAAAATTATAGTAGAGTTGTGAAAAGAAAAACAACAGTAGGCAGCCCCCATGAACTTCATTTTGGAGGTTCCTCAATTGAGAAGTCCTTAGCCCTGGAGCTCACATCTGCCCACAGGTTGGGGGAGTAAGAGGATCCACCCTAAAGGCTGTTTAAGTGAGTCAACATGTTTTTATGGACCATCTATGCCCACACTGTGGATTACCACAATGTGGTAATAATTATGCAGTAATTAATGTGGATTACCCCATAAAAAGTTAAGTTTCACAAAGGAGCTTAACAATTACAATTAATGGTGTTCATCATTGTCTTTACTGATGCTTTTAGAAGTCAAGAAAGTAATCTGTGATAGTGTTTCCTATTCCCATGATCCCCACTGATAAAATGGTGGGACTAACATTTTCCACCCATAAGTATTTACAGAAAAAGTTGTGTACATATAAGGGCACCAGAACAGTGGTAGGTTGTTCACATTTCCTGATTCTTCTTTGGTAAACCTTCATAAGTTTTTTTGTACCAAGGATTGAACTCCTTGTGCTTGCAGGGCAGGCACTTAAACCATTGAGCTAAACCCCTGGCCCAGGCCCATGTATTGTATTTTTGAGCTTCAGCCTGGTAAATGTTTAATGTGTTAATTATTCTGCAATCACAGAAGAGCTTAATCAGAAAATAAGAATATTATCTTTTGATCTCAGTGTAGGTTTTTTAAGTTTTCTCATTGGCTATGTGTGGCTTTATTTTTACTTGGCAAAATCTCTGATCATCTTGAGACTTGGTAAGGAGCCATGGCATCAACATTTAATGAGCTTGCTCTTTTGTAATTTCATAATTAATCTTTTGTTGAGAAAAGCCTCCAAACTGTAAAAATTATTAGTCTATGAAGCATGTGCTGTTTGTTGTTGTAAATGAAAATAAAGCAGATGTGTTGCTCTTTAGAACACAGAAGTGATTAACTGTGCTTTATCATGATTTTTCTCTCATTGAGTTTCTTGACTTGTTCTATTAATAGTTTAATTGAGCATCTTTTTTACTTCTAGGTGGGTTGCCTATGAAAAGGAACATTTTAAAGGCCGGCAGTTCTTGCTTGAAGAAGGAGACTTTGAAGATAGTAATGACTGTGGGGCACTAAGTGGCCCCATCTTGTCTTTCCGGTACTTACAAGCTGTGAGTTAGCTTCCTGAGCTGTGCTTTTCTACCTTTTTATCTTTTCATGAAAACTGGACAGGATCACTGATAGAACATGAGTTTGTATAATGTTTCTGGCACACTGAAAACACTATATTGAACTGGACATGACTTACCTGGTTTTTCTTAACTGCATAATTATTACAGAATATTTATTTTTGATTTTTTATCCACCAATTCAATAATCAGTTTTTGAGCACATGCTTTCTTATATGTATTGTACTAGGTGGTAGACAGGTGGTAGCCAAATTCTCAGTTTCAGCGTCCCCAAACAGGTAATCCGGTAAGGAAGATAATGCTTAAATGAATGTATGATATTGTTTATGACTGGATTAAGTACACGGAGGGGGGTATTTAGTCGTCCAAGTGGAATAGTGAGGTGTGCCTCAGTGACAGCTGACAGAAGTTTCATGTTCAGCAGCCTTACCTGAGTAGACAGTTTCCAGCAGCAGGTGAAAGACATCTAAGTGCTGTGTTGCCAGAGATTAACCCATGTTAATGTGTACAGTCTAGGTTATAAGCCATTGGTTCTAAATGGGGGTGATTTTGCTCCTTAAAGGAAATTTGACAGTATGTAGAGACATATTGGATGGTCATTCTGAAGGATGGGGTGCTGGCATCTAGTGGGTGGAGGCTAATAACCTTTCAATGTGAAGGGCAGCCTCCAACAATAAAGAATTACAGGCCCAAAATGCTTATAGCAATGAGTTTGAGAAACGCTCATGGAAGTAAAAACTGTGATGTGTCTGAAAAAAATGCAGTTATGTCAGGATATTAGAACTTTGGAAAGATGAGTCCAGAACCAGTTAATGAAGGGCCTAGTACCACATTGAGAAATTCAAGTTGTCATTATTGTTGTTATTTTGAGTTGACCAAAAGCCACTGGTGTCTACCCTTTAAGTTTTTTTTTTTTTTTTTTTTTGTACCAGGTATCAAACTCATGACCTCACATGTGCCAGATAGGCATTTATGCCACTAAACTAAATCCCCAGCCCACCCTTTCAGTGTAGGGAGAATAACTATACTAAAGGTTTTGAAAGGTCTTTTTGATGACTGTATTGAGAAATGGGCTGGGATAAGGGAAATGAGGCAGAAGGAGAGAGGTCCAGAAAGCTATAGGACTTCAAGTAGAAGAAAATGAAAACACAAAGAGGAGAGGAATGTTAGAGACTTCTTAAGATTTTAGGACTCAGCAAATATTGCTAATTTTTCTGACCAGCACTGTGGACTTCTTAATAAGCTAAGAGGGATGTATATCCCTGTTATTTAAGAGTTACCACTGTTATCTTTCCCAAATAATCTTTACCCATATAATCTCTAAACCAGGTGATGAACCTGTAGCACATGTGTGGTTTGTGTTTAAGGCAAAAGAGGCTAATGTATAAGTTGTTTTTCTAAACTACAACCTTAGTATTGAGGTCTAATCGCAGTGTTGGCATTTTGCAATAAATAAATGGGTTTGGGGTTTCAGTTTTGTCTCTTGTATCTAAAAGGTTTATCCCAACTATTTGGAATGGTCTTTGATGCACTCCTTAAAGTCAACGGTATAGTAGGTGATTGTGGGGCATATAGACTGCAAGTGAGCACAGGGATTGTGTTCTTCCTTTAGGTTTTTATTTTTTTGCAGCTAGTGGCAGCCCTTGTGCAACCTCTCACCCTGTTAAACAGGAGGATTGGGAATGAGAGCAGATCCCAAGTAACAAAAGAGCATTTTATTTTTTCATAAGTGGGTCTTCTAAGTGAGAAAATGAGTCAGAAACAAGTTAATGAAACATAAGACAGTTCACTGAAAATCAAGTGCTAGGAATGCTTGAGCAATAACAGATGGGTAACTTCTGAGGTATTTAGTGCACTGTTATACTTTATAAGAGTCAAGGTGTTGTCTGCTGAGCCATGCTTTGACCACTAAACGGCAAGCAAGACAATATAAAATAGAACCTTTTTAGATAATTTTGACCATATACATTGAGGGGATTATAGCCCATGATTTAAAGCTTTGTACACTCATTGTTAAAACATTTAAAAATTCCCCTCATTTTAGAAAGAAAGTTGGGGGAGCATTATAGATACCATCAATGTTAACAATGAATGAGGTGATACTTTTCAAATATGACTAGGACTAAAACACCAAAACAAAAACTAAAGAAAATCCAAATTAGCTGAAACCTGCCAGTGGTTGGAAATGTGAAAATAAGTAAATGTCTGAAAGACCACATATAGCTAAATAATTAGAAGATATTGGATATAAGTAAGATATATAATAATAACAATAGGAAAATCGGTGTGTATGTATTTGTGTGTGTGGATAGCCTTGTTAATTTTTGCTATTTACAAAAATTGGAAGCATATACAAAAACGATGACACAGTTTTATGTAAATAAGGAAAATATCCTTTGAAAGAAAACTTTCTTTTCTCTTTAAATTGTTTTTTTAATTACAATATGAGTTGTTAGCTTTAGTTAATCATAATCCTCATACTAATCCTAATATTTGTCAAATCATCCTTAATTGCTTATGTGAATATGCATTCCAATAGTCTTTGCAATGTAGAGACTCATGATACATCTTATAGAAACTGAGCATCTTAGAGGTCATGTACCTTTCCTCAGTGTTATGCTAAGATTGGAGGGTAAATCTGTCTTACTTGAGAGCCTATTAGACTTTAAAAAGTACCTAAATAAAAACTGAATCATATTTAGTAAAAACCTTCTGGCATTTCATTTATAACTTCAAATACATTGCAGACCAATCAATATATATAATATATATATATATATATATTATATATATATATATAATAAATTTTACATGGTTTCCAGACACTTTTTATAACAAAATTATGTTTAGTAAAGTATATTTGGATGGTATTTACTGAAGAAATTTATCCATATTTAGACAATATAAGATTTTTATATGTTGTGCAAATTCTTAAAAAACTAGTTAATATTTTGAGAAAGTATGTATTCCCCATACATAGCAAGTAATTGGGAAGGCATTTTTTTAAAAAAAGTTATTTTATGGAAAAAAGTAAAACAATTTCATAACAAAATAATAGAATAACAATAGTTTATATATTACATGTTATTTTTAAAGTAGTTGCTCAGGGTGTAATAAATGGGCAAAAAAATTTCTCCAATAAATATTAGCTCAAACATTCCTTTTTAATGGACTGAGACACTACTTGCATTTTTTCCCTTTGCCTACAGTCCTTTCCCCTTTCAGCCATCCTAATTCTTTTTTTCCTTGTGAACAATTTCTTCCTATTTCACAATATCTATTGTACATTGTATTTTACAGGGGGACAATACAATGTTTACACATGTGAGTCTGATTTATTTCACTTATGAGTATTGTCTCAAGTTGCATCCATTTACACATAAAAGTTTCAACTGTATCCTTTATAACTGAGTAGTACTCCATTATATAAAAATAGCACATCTTTTGTATCCATTCCATTGTTTATGGGCATTAGGGTTGTTTTTAAGATGTAGCTATTAAAAACTGTGCTGCTATAAACATGGATGTACAACTTTTTCTGTGGTGTGATGTTTTTACTTCTTCTGTGAAGATACCCAAAAGGGGACTTGCTGGATCAAATGGAACCTCTAATCCTAGTTTTTTAAGGAATCTCCACACTGATTTCCTCAGTGATTGTACCACTCTACATTCCCACCAACAATGGAGAAGTGTTCCTGTTTTCCCCACAGCTCCTCCAGCATTTGTTATTGGTTGATTTCTTGATAGTCATTCTTTCTGGGGTGAGATGGAACTTCTGTGTTATTTTAATTTGCATCCTTCAAATGACCAGTGATGTTGAACATTTTTTCATGTATTTATTTATCATTTGTATTTCTTCATCTGAGAAATGTATACTCATCTCAGATCTCTGCTTTTGGATTGGGTCTTTGAATTTGGAGGGGGCTGGTATTTTTCAATTCTTTATATGTTCTAGATAGAATCTTGTGTCTTAGGGACAATTGGCTAAATTTTTTTCCTGTGGGTTTTTTCCTGTGGGTTTTCTTTTCACTCTGTTGATGATTTCCTTTGAGGTGCAAAAAATATTAATAAGATGAGATCCCAGTTTTTGATTCTACAAAGTACTTCCTGTGCAGTTTGATATTTATTTAGGAACTCTCTGCTGACACCTATGTCTTCAAGAGTTCTACCTGCTTTCTCTTCCAGTAGATTATTTCTGTTTTAATATTTAGATCTTTGATCCATTCTGACTTTAGTTTAGTACATGGTGATAGACATGGGTGTAGTTTTAGTTTTCCGGATATATAGAGCCACTTTGGGCATTTTTTATTAGTACACGTTTGCAGTATATATGATTACATTCATTGTAGCAAGTTGGTATATGTACATAAAACATTCTGATTCTTTTTTAATCCACTTCTCCTCCCCTCTGTTACCCCTTCTGCTATCTCTTGGTTACCTTTCCTTTTGAAAAAAGTTGTATTCCTCTGTTTCTGATTGTCTGTCTTTTATTTTGATCTTTATTTATGCTCATGTAAGAGAAACCATGCAGTACTTAAACTTGCATGTCTCAAGGTAAGCCCTTGTGATCGTGGTAGCCCTAATGAGTTAATAGGCAAAACTCATGTGAAACATCTTCTCTGAATACAAACCATGACATTTACAATTCTCAGTTGAAGTAATATAAAAGAGACAAGAGGACAAAGAGAAAAGCTGTTTTCAAATGTCCTGACTGTAATACATGAAACACTCTGGATTTACTAAGGTCAAATACCGGACATGTTCCTTAGGGATAATATGATCTGTGTCATAGAGAGCTTTGGAGAGGACAATCATAAATGTGTTCCCAATTCTAGATGAGTCATTTGGATATACTGACTTGGAGTTGATTGCTAAGAAAAGAAAAGAACTAAAAGAAATATAGCAAGATTTATGCTTCAAAGGTTAAGGAATTTTTATTCCATGGCTTCAGTAAAACTATTTTGGTATTCATATTTTTTCAGTCTTATACTTACTTGCTTAATTTTGTATTTGCTTTTGCTATGATTTTCAAACTTTAGGCAACTCTCCAAAACTCTTGATATGCAGCCCAGACTACTATTTTCATTTGTTAATAGATACACCAGCTCTCTACTGGTATCTCGATGTTAGGCGTGTGGAGTTATGGTGTGAGAGAAAGGGCCAGATTTCTTAAGGGATTTTATGGAATTTAAAAGTAGCCAAATTACAGAACCTTATGACTCATCTTTATACCTAAACACCTGCTCAATGTAATAGTAGGAAATGTCTTACCTGAGATATACTTAACTATCTTATTCATTTAAAAATATAAAATAGAATAATACCGCCTTTAAAATTGTTCCATCATTCTTCATTTTTTTAAGCAAAAGAGCTCTACTAAATCTAGGGATTTCCAAAATACCTAGAAAAAGTAGTTATGGTAGTGACCAAAAAACTTCATAGGGCTTACCCTAGACATGAGTGTTAGTACCGGTTCTGCCTATCTACTGGTTAAGATATTTAGAAGATTTTGGTTTTGTTGATTTTTTTTGCATATTATGCTATGCTTTGTACATGTGACCCTAGGTGATTGCACCCAGAACTGACATATGCCCTTGAGCATGAGTCATCTCACAGCCAGAATTCTGCAAAACAAGGATAATGTATTGATGACAACTAATCACCAAGATGGGATATTGTATATTTGTTATGTCTGAGAGAAAATTCAGAGAGGGAGCAAAACCTGAGAGTTGCTCAGGAGGGGAGAAGTGCTTACAAAAATATGGAAAGCAAAACCTAAAAGGCAAAAGTCACAAACAAGTTGAATATGGAAACAGGGGAGTAATATCATCTAGAAGGCTACTGTAGCACTTGGCAGGGTCTCTAGGAATGGTAAACAGTTTAAGAAAACAAGCTCCAGCTATGTGAGTATATTTGTTTATATCCCTGTGTGCTGCCAGCATTTGTATTTCCAATATAGTGGGTCCCTCCTGCTCTGTTCAGCTTCAGGCTATATTGTTGCATGTGATCTGTGCTTCTAACCCCTTTCCCAATTCACTTTTCTCTCATGTAGTTTTTGTATTTTAGGCACAAGTGAAACTTAGAATTAATCAGATAGTTTTTAAGTCCCAGCAGTTTATCAATGGATGACTACTTTTTTATAAACCTTACATTTTCCTGATTACAGTAAATTCAGGCTTCCTTTTTTTTTTTTTTTTTTTTAAATGATACAGGAGTATTAATTGTGAAATTATTTCCCCTGCAGTTTAAAATTCTTCCCGGAGTTATTTGTGTAAATGTTATCCCATGAGAATGTGAAAATGTGCTTGGCTACAGCACTTCATAAAAACAAAACACGTGCTTTCTTAAATTTTCTTTTTCTTCTTTTCAGAATTTTATAGAATCTTCTATCACACTGTTTGAATCTGACCTAGAAAATGGGAAGTGTATTGACATTTCAAATCAGGAAATTTCAGACTTAGAAGAAATTGGCTTTGGTAGTGAAACAAGATCCATTCATGTTAAAAGTGGAGTGTAAGTTGTCCCCTATGCTTTGAGATATTCTTTGGTGTTTTAAATTATAGGGTGCTAGGTTATATATCACCTCCATTCTCTTCTCTTTGTTCCCTACTAGATGGGTTGCCTACCAGCAGAAGTTCTTTTGTGGAGAACAATACATTTTAGAGAAAGGGAAATACAAATGCTTTTTTGACTGGGGAGGATCAACTAATGTAATCATGTCAATTCGACCTATTCAACTGGTAAGTGAAGTGTGAGGAGGATGGTGCCAGTAGCATATTAATAGTATACAATTGAATATATAGGACAAGATTGTAAAACATGGGATTGTTGAATTACTTTAATATGTATATATAGAAAATAAAAACATGATATGAGTGTAGACTCTATGGAGAGCTGTTACATATTAATCCATGAATGAGATTGGTCTGAAATTTTATCATTTTGTTCATTCAGCTGCATTTATATAGTCTCAGATTATTGTGCTCCTCACAGGAGATGAAAGATGTTTAAAACTGCCCTGACAGCTCTTATTCTCTTAGAGGAGATAGATATATGAGAAACTAATTTTAGTGTGGTTAGTTTGAAAATGAAGTGTGTATTGAACATTATTGGGAGTACAGGGGAAGGAAGCTCTCACTGACTTTACCACTAAATAGGATATAAGAAGTTATCTCATAAGTTACAAAAGTAAATTTTTGAAGCAGACAGCATCCTATGAAGATTCTTTGTGTGCAAAGCCATGAAGCTGTAAAAGATGACCCAGTTCATCCCATAACAAACACTGCAGAACAGTCTAACGAGAAATAATGTTCACAAATTTTAGACTCTTTCTGCTGGGCATTGTGGTACATCAGTATCACTTTTTAGTTGATCATAAATACAAAGTTGATCATAAATACTAAAGTAAGTTGATCATAAATACTAAAATGTTATGAGAGAATTCAGTATATTTTTTGAGGGTCTTGACAGTTCTCAGACCATAAAAGCTTTTAAAGGATATTTTGAAAACATTTAAAAGATAATTAGGATGACGTGAGTACAATGTTTAAAATATTTTAATGTGTTTTTCAGGAACCACTTGGGATAAATGAGCCTCCACATTTGGTATGTTTTAAATCATTCTTAGTTGATAATTGTTGCTTGATTTTCCAAAAACATTTAAACCTTCTCCGTGAGGTCTTTCTGTTTCTCTCAGATAACTTTTACGTATCTGTGAAGCATTGGACTTGGTGCCTGTGAGTAGAAACGAGCTCCGTCTTCATCGGTGACTACTTTGGCAGAACTTGTCGCAGTGTATTTTCTCCCGACATAGCCGCTGCTCTCACTGCTGCAGTTCATTTTCGCCTGTGCCACCTTCTTCCCTATTGGCCGTTCCTTCTTTGTCCCGTTCTCCTTAGGTTAGGCACAGCACAGCAGAGTATGCGATCTCTGGAAGGGCTGACAACATGGCGTAATTGCTTCCTTGAGTTGCTTACTGTGTGTGTGCACGGATTTCTAATACCTATGTCAAATGTTTCTTCACAGTGGATTTGAAACTCTACTTTTTCATTTTTAGTGTGTTAATAGCTTGAATGGAACTGGGTAATACTCTGGATCCTATCTTTTTATTATGTATTGAGGGCTAGAATTTTTGCCCACATAATACTTCTCATAATCATTAATCCCATTTATTGATACAAAAACTAAAATTCAGATTTAAATAGATACTATTTTCACACATATAGAGGTGGTAAGATGGACATTCTCTAGTTTCTGACTCCTTTCACAAAGCCACATTTTCAAGTCAAAGAAGGACATACCGTTATAAGAGGAGCACAGCCATAAAAGGAAGAGACAATGAGAGAGATTGCTTTTGCCAGTTCATTTTAAATAACCACATTCAGAAAAATTGCTGTTAAAAAGCCAAATATAGCGATTATTTTAAAATGACATCTGCTACCTTTATGTAATGCTAAATCTTTCTTGCTGAACGAGTAACTTTTTCATATTCATGTTAATGTTTACGTATTTCAGATCAGCTTACTTTAACCATGTTTCCACTCACAGTGCTTTCAGGATTTATTATTTTCTGATTAGCTTGGGCCTATTGGGAATGTTTCCTTTCTGAATATAATTGTATTTAAAGACACTTCCTGCCAGATCTTTATTTTGAAGTTTTGAAAACGCCCAACTGGATTTTTAAAGCAGCACTGTTTCACATGAATCAAAATAACTTGAGTAAAAAAAGGAAACAGAAATAATTTCAAACTGCACATTTTCTAAGCTTTAAGTGCAGATAAAAAGTCCCATTCTTCTAAGCTCTTTCTCCTCCTCCTGTCTCTGTTGTTTTTCTTTTTCTGGTTTTTGTTTTTAATGGACTTCCTTGTTTGGGGAGAGAACTCGACGGATTTTCTTTATCGTTTTTCCAGTATAACCTGAAGAGAGATGAAGCAGCAGAAAACACCCAGTGAAACTGGCTCCATTTCATTTTTTCTAGATGTAGCTCAGTAATTGGCTTATGAAATAAAAAGTTCTGACAGGTATATGATAGCTGGATATTTGGTAGCATACAGATAAAGCCTCCTTTGTTTACCCAGAATAAAGGCTCCTGTTATTTTCAGTTGACTACATTTTCAAATGTTCTTATTTATCCTACTTGAAGATAAACAGATCTTGATCTATAGGCTAGTTCCATTCTTTAACTGGAAAGTATTTTCTCTTTTCCAGGTAGCTGTGAGTCAGGTTGGGCATATCAGTGGTTTCTGTAAATGGTATTCTTATTTCCCCTGAGTATGTAATTCGGTTACATCTTACAGTTCAGCTAGGGTAGGGGGGATTTTTTATGCTGGTGATTTTAAAGGGAAGCTGAAGCCACGTAAGAGGGGCAGAATGTAGAAAATGCATGTGCATAGGCATTAATATATATCATGAGACTTATGATAGTAAAAATATTTACTGATTATTCTGTAAACATGAGGACATGTCTTGTTTGAAATACTAATAATACTTTGAATTTATTGACAAGACTGTTTTCCTCCTGATGCTAAAGATTAGTCACTAAATCTAATCACCAACCCAAAATATTGATAGTCTTGCTAGAGTTTGTCATCAGTATTAGGAGGCATTTTGTATGTTTTTATTTTTCTGCATGCAAAACAAATACTAAACAGAATGTAGGTTCTCTTCACACTGTGTCTTCCCTAGCAGGTCCTGAATTTTAGAAATCTCAATTGATCAAATCTCATAAAAGTGAATTTAGAGCTGGGGGTTTAGCTCAGTGGCATAAGCACCTGCCTGGCAAGTGCTAGGTCATGAGTTCGATCCCTGGTACCAAAAAAAAAAAAAAAAAAAAAAAAAAGTGAATTTAGTTTTCAGTAGAGATTGTAGTCAAAGTATCATTCTGTAGAAATTCTAACCAATTCCCTTCTTGACCCAATCAAGTAGCATGTGTTCATAGCATCTTTTAAAAAGTTCATTTACAGATGCCATTAAAACTTTTAAGTATTGAGCTTTTTTCCATTTGTACATAATTTTAGTTGAGAAAAGTGAATGATATCTTCTATTGGCTAATTTAGCTTCATTAAATTTTAATATGATCACATAGTCTATAGTAGTTATGGTTATTGTTTTCATGAATGTGATTAGAAAAAATGACAGGTTTAGGCAAGTATCAGTATGATTCAGGAGCAGTCGAGAAAAACATTTCTTTATGATGCAACAACTAGATCACTTTTATGGGATTCAAAGTTTAAAAGTACTCAGGGAGAACTATTTAAAGAACATCTCCCATGAGTGATTAGGGAGATAAAATTATTGTGGACTATGTAATAGACTCAAGAAATACATGAGAGAGTGTAATACAAGATAGGTGTGATGTAACTGAAGAATGGAAGACTTTTTTTTAACAGTCAGCTTGTGTGTATGAGGGAGGCATAAAGGATTAAACAAAGCTTTATTTGGACAGAGAAAAAAGTTTTTGTTAGTATTGGGAAGATAAAAATTGCATTAAAAGATGCTGATACTGTGGATTAAATTGAACATAGCATCTGTGTTTGGACAGTAAGTGCTTGAGTTTTTATTTTTTCATACTAGCTTGAAAAGATCACTACATTTTATTCAAGTGATAATTGCATAGCAAAAAGCATTTCTGTAAAAATCTTCGTCAAAATGATAATAATTTTAGCCTTACAGGGTATTTCTGAAGAGGAAATACCACAATACATATAAAAGGCCACCTGTCATTCAGTGAAAGCCTGGTTTTGTCATTTTTGCTTTTGTTTCCATACGCCTGTGTTTGGGCGGGGATATGGGATTGAGATATGCCCACCTGACACAGAGGGGAGGGGTATCTTTTGTTCATCAGGATGTTTGCCTAGGTTGTAAGCAACCTAGTGCGAGTTATTTTGTACATTTATTCTCTATTAAACTGAAAAGGAAACCGCCACAGTGATTTATCTAGCTTATTTTTCTCAGAATTTAATTTATCTAATGTAAGTGCTATCAAAGTGAGCACAGTGTTGGGTTTTATTCCATCTTCAGAATATCATTATGGTAGTTGTTTTATTCTGAGTCATGTTAAAGGTTAAAATTAGGTAGTACCACCGGAGATATGCTTAATTTACACTGTTAGTAATCTTTAAGAATATTTCATGACTTCATAAGTCTTAAACTTAGCAGTACAGTGGTGCCTCTGTTCACAACTTCTTTCCAGGATTCTGGTTACAGAATTCATTCCACAGTTCTTGTTGCAACCAAACTGACCAGAGGTACCACTATATAAAATTAAGTCAACGGACTAGTAGTGAGTCAGGTAGTCTCTATTCCTATGTTTTTCTAGTTTTTACTGTGTATTTAGATAGTGTTTGCACTGAGAGATATTTCTCTGTATATTTGGAGATAAAAAGCAGTAATGTAAACCTTACATTAAGATAAACAAAAGGTAAGTTTTGGGCCGTTTTTTCCCAATCCTGTATGTCTTCCAGAAGGACCCTGCAGAAGCTTTTAAATCTTATCTTCTTAATGTGAGAAATCCCCTTGGCTTAAATGCTTCAAATACCAATTATGTGGTTTCACAACAGGAAGTCAGTGTTGTTCAGGCCACAGCTGGTTTGGGGGCGGGGGCGGTTCTTTTATTTCCCTTGTTTGGGTTGGTTTTGATATCAGACCAAGCGAAGTCAGAGCAAAATTAGACCCAAGAAACAATTTGTGTAAGAAGACCCTTAGGAAGGTGGCCGAGGTAAACAGCTGCTGCTCTGCTTGGGGAAGCTCTGATCTTGTCAGCACAAGCAGAAGAGGTGCTGCTGTGGATCACTCGCTGGTGCCTGCTTGCAGGCCTGTCAGTGTAGGGTGCCCCTGTGGGCTGTGCTATTTCAGGTCTCCAGTGTGTTATGAAATATTTATGGGATCATTAATTTTTTTAAAATTTTGATCTAAAGCCACCAGAGTTGCAGATTATTATTTCTGTGTTGTAAAGTGAACTGTTTCAAGATTTCATCGATTTTTCTTGAAAACCAAAAGACTAAAGTAGAAAGTGTAATGGTAAATAGCTGTAAGATGCCCATTTAAAGTAGTCTTATCAGAAAAGTCAAATCTTGTAAACTGAAATACCTGACACAAATGTCTACCGTCTCCTCCTACACTCATATTCTTTATTCTCTATTAACTGTGGATCAAAAAGACTTGGAGAAAGAAGAGCATGCCAACTTTCTTTTGTGTTTGCTGCTTATTTTGTGTATTGATCTCACCATAGAGGATAATACTGTATGATACAATAGAAAACAAATTTTAGTGGAGGAATTCTGACTTACTAAAACAGGTAGAATTATTTTCCAGGCATTTGTGTCTTTAGGGAGAATGTTACTGTTTTAACAAATTCATTAATAATAGATGAAAACATGTCTGATATCTTTGTGAATTTTTATAGATATATGAAATTAAAGTTTTATTTACTTGTGACAGTATTAGTTATTTTCTATTAATTATTATTATGTTGTTATTCTTGTAGCTGAAAGCATTCAGTAAACCAGGGTTCCAAGGTGAATGCATAGATTATACAAAAGAAATTTATGATTTGACTTCATTCATGCCATGTTCTTTTAAAGTTCTTCGGGGTTGGTGAGTATACTTTCTCAGTATTACATTTTGCTGTATGTGATTGTAAGAGATGAAATATACTTTTTTATTTAATATACATAGCACCAAATTTACCATCTTACATTTTTAAGTACATAGTTCAGTGGTATCTCAGTGTTTCAAATATCTGCCTTATACCCTATTAGAATCTTTTTATTTGTCCTTCAAAATATCTTGAGTAAGTCAGTTTTCCTTTCTTGTTTCTTGAAGCGGTAGAGACCAAGAGCTCCTGGTTTTCACTGAAGGAACTTTAGAGTCTCTCAATGACTTCCAGCTTCACTGTCCACTTAACTTTGAGTATTTACCACAGACGAGTCAGAGTCCAATTATTTTGTCCCAAAATCCAGTTTCATATTTTTACTAATCTGCTTTTAATTCCCCCACTCACTCCCTGGTACCAGAAAGCTACGTTCAGCTCCTGGTTTTCTAGGCTTTATCATCTTTTCCTTTTTCCTCTCCATTCTTTCTTGTGTCCTTTTACTCTCCCAATCCTTCCTTCATCATGTACTCAGCCATTCCTTTTTCTCCTTACTTCCTGTATCAGAAGTTGGCGAACTTTTTCTGTAAAGATGCAGATAGTGAGTGTTTCCTACTGTTGGTTGAATGGATTCTCTTCTGCTGCTTTTAATACTGTGGTCAAAGCAGGGAAGCAGCCACAGACAATATAAATGCATAGGCATGGCTCTGTCTCAGTGAAATTTTACTTTCACATATAGGAATTGGAATTACATCTAATATGTAAATGTCATGAAATAGTCTTCTTTTTAATTTTTAAAACAATTTAAAAATATGTGAACCAAGCTAATGTGGTGGACGCTATGAAAGTAGGCATTGGGGCTTTAGGGTGCTAACCCTGATCTATATCAGAGATTGTAGTTCTGTGGTAAACCTAACCAGCAGATGTTATTTGGTCAGGTTACACGCTATGTTAGAATGTTTTTCATATCAAGATTTAGGTTTTGGATATATTATTTCACAAATCTGTTTTCCAGTGAGAAAGATTTCAATTTCAGCAATAATTGTTTATTATCAAATGAGTGACACAGCCACTATCAATCCCATTTTTTTTCCCTCACCTGTTAAAGTACTCATTTGCATTACCTGCCTGGCCACCTGCAGATATATTCATTTGTGTCCCCTGCTTAATCCAAATATATCCTTTAAATTTTAATATAAACCATTCCCTTTGTTCACTTTGATTCAACCTAACTTAAGCAGTCATTTATTTCCTATAGCTCTTCTGATTTGATCTTTGTATTTACTACTCTCTTAATACTTCCAGAGTATGAGTTTCACAGATTAAAACATATAAAATAAAGCATTATAAATTAAATAGACTATCTATACCTCCTTAGAAAAAAAAGTAAAATATGTACTGATGACCCATAGTAATTTCTGTACTATTATTTGGCTTTGAGTTTCTTCATTAAAATAAAATATTTTGTAAGATATATTTTCTGATAAACAGAATTATTGGGGGTTTTCTGGAAGAAAATCTTTTATTATCTAGGAAATCTACAACTATAGCTTTAGTAAAGAATTTAAGGACCATGAAAGTTGTGTAAGTAGTTGGAGCATTTGAGAGACCTGTATCTGAGCCCATTTCTACCACTGCCCAGCTGTGGAATCTTCAGCAAGTTGGGTCACCTGTCTGGTTCCTCATCTCTAGAGGAAAGATGATAGGTACCTGTCTCAAATGATTTTTGACAACTAAATAAAATAATGCACATGAAAGACATGGCCCTGTATCTAAGGAATTGAAAACTCTTGATAAATGCTAGCTGAAAAATTCTTCTTATGTAGAAAATATGACAGTAAATTATGCCAGAGGGCATTTCTATGGTAATTCAAAGTTAACCTGGCTGATATATAGTACAGTTCTACTGATCTTAAAATATAGAGCTGAAACTGAAACCCACCAAAACTAAATTAGTAATAGAAATTAATTTTTCCTTGGGACCCTTTTCAAAAGAGAATGTCTTATTAACTGGGCTTTGTGAGTGTTGTAATGAAGATTACTTACCAAAGGATTTTTTTTTTTTAAATTTTTGTTAGTAGGGGCTGGGGATTTAGCTCAGAGATATAAGTGCCTACCTGTAAGCATGGGGTTTCAAGTTCAATCCCTGGTACTGGAAAAAAAAATCTGTTAACTATCTCATGTGTGGTGATACATATTCCTTGTAGGTTTGTAGAAGTCTAGCTCCTTTACATATTCCTTGTAGGTTTGTAGAAGTCTAGCTCCTATACCCATCTAGGCTGAATCATTAAAAGATCATTGAATGAATAAATAAAAAGTTTAATTTTTACCAAAAGAACTTCTAATTTTTTCATATACTTAATCATCCCCATAGTTTGATTCCATGATGTTGCATAGGAAGGCACTAAATGAAAGCATGTCTTTAGCACAAAGCAGATATCTTTTTATTTCAAATCTTAGCCCCATCTTTTAATAGGTGGGAGAATCTTGGACAGATCACCAAAACTTTCTGATCTTTAGTTTTGTTGCCTATAAAACTGAGGATATGTTTTTAAATTATAGAACTTTTGACATTAATGAAATCATACATTTGAAGTTCTAATATGTAAGCAGTCAATAAATGATAATGGTGGTTATTTTATTAACTGCTGCTGATCAGCGCCTGGTTTGTACAGCATGATGAAGAGCCCTCATTGCCAGCTGACTGTAATTTCACTGGATTTCTGCTTGTTTTACAGCTGGCTCCTCTGTTACCAAGAGGACATGTTCTGTAATCAGTGTGTTTTAGAAGAAGGCCTCTATGCTGACCTTACTTCTTGTGGCTGCCCAACATCTAGAGTTACATCCCTTAAGCCTATTGACTATGTAAGTACTTTGCTGTAATTGCAAGACCCTCTTCCTTGTCCAGTTTAGATGTGTAAGTACCTAGAGTGCTTGAAAGACTTGGATGTGAGCCTAGTTCTACTACTTCCCAGCTATGCAGCCTTAGTCAAACTGGGTCATCTTTGTGAACTTCAGCCTCACCACCTGTTCAGGAAAAATAGTAATACCTGCCCCAAAGGATTCTTATAAGAACTAAATGAAGTAATGTATGTGGAGGGATCAACTCCCTCAATAAAGGATGGAAGACTTGAAAGAAACATTACAAGGGGAAATATCAAATAATTGACTTATTGATTATAAAATTAAAGTCTGTTCGTGAAATCCAAACAAGACACAATTGGTATTTTCTTACAGTTTCTCCCCCTTCTCTCCTTTCCTGTCTTTTCTATAAATGGGAGCGTATGAAATATGCTGTTTTACACCATTCCTTACTTTGTATTTGCTGCTGAAGAACCTATCTTAGCAATCATTCCATGAAGAGATCTTCATTCTTACAGCTACGTAAGATTCCTGTGAATGTACCATAATTTATTTAACCAATTTTCTCTTCAAGAGCAGGTAAATGGCTTGCTAGTTTTCACTATTCCAAACACTGATACAAGGAATAATTCTTTCACAAGCCATTTCTGTCTGATGCAACTATGTTTTACTGGTCTCTTGTATGAGCCAATTGTTTTTGATGTTTACTTACTGTTATTTGACTGTCTATATTCCCTGCTGGTACTTTGCTGCTTCTACGTATCAAGTTATAGATACTTCAGCCCAATCTTAGTCCTCACTTGAAAAGTCTTTAAAGACACCCCGTTAGCAATAAACCTGTCTCTGCCCTGTCAGACTGGTGGTGGGGAAAGAAGGCAGCTCAGTGAACAGGACAAAACACTGGAAGCGTTTGTCTCTGGCTGGCCTCTCTGCTAGCTAACTAATTCTATATGTCACTGTGCTACCACGCTCAATTCATCTCTTTCTCGCTTGCTTTGTGGAGTGCCTTCCTCTTTTCTCTTACCCTTCAGATACACTGCATCCTTTGAGACTGAGTTCACACACCATCACATACATACAGCCCCCTTGATTCCTCTTTCCTGATGCTAAATATAATCAAGCCTTTTACTAAGTACTCTCACAGGATATATTTTTGTACTTTGGATTACAATACAGTATCTGTGTAGTCCTAATTTAGCTAATAGTTTTCTAATGCTCAATGCAAGGATGTCGCCTTGTTTTGATTTCTTCTCCCCCAGAAATCTCTTAGTGCTTTGCATATACTAACGAATGAAGAAGAACAATATTAATTCTATTCTTGTCGGGCATGATGAGTTGATGTAATACTTAATTTTAATGGAGAAATTACCCCAGTCTCTGTGCATCCTAGTTGTTTTTAAAATTAAGTATGCTTTTTAATCTCCTTCCTAGAAATATAAGAGCATTAGAACTATGAGGTCTTGTATTGCATGCAACTGCTTTGATATTCTGGGAAACAAGGGTGCCATTTTTTTCTATGTTTATTCTGTTGCCAGCCGGAAGCACCAGTATATGGTCACCATTGTGGCACCACAAGACCTTAATATGTAATTTGGGACCAGGTGTCTCTTTTTATTTTCATTATAAGATGAAGATTACTTTCTTGGTAACTTCAAGTTGCAAAATGAACCCAAATTATTAATAGAATCTAATCTCTCCAGTGTAGTTTTGACAACATGTTTAGAAGGTAAAACAGTAAATGTACTCGAGAACCTGATGGATGCAGGACACCCTGAGTTCCAATTGTAATGTCACTAAAGGATGGCTAACTCTAGGTGATACTTTTTCTTTTTTGGCTATTAGGTTTTTGAAGAGCCTTCTATCAGCCTCTTTGCTCTAGAACATTGTGAAGGAAGAGAGTTACATCTTGAGGAGGCTGTAAACTCTGTTTTGAACAAGGACCTGCATTTTTATACCCAGTCTGTATGGGTGAAAAGTGGACTGTAAGTACAAAGGAAGTGCATTTCCCCATTGCATTTTCTTAATCTGATCGTGTTCTTACTCCTTTCATCTTTCAGTGTAGTGACAGTAGTTTAAATAAGATAAAACTAAACAGTTTCCATTATGGAGTAGCAGCAGTGGCCTGGGAAAAGAGGGGCTTCCACCTCATCAGAACATGTCAGAGTAGGTCAGCCAGATTTCTTTTAGGAGAAATTTTGTTAAACCAGGAATTTAAATGGTGAAGGTTTGAAAGACTATTTGGTTGTACTTTGACAGCATGTTGATTAGCAGTTTTCTCCTGTGTACTCACTGTATTATGGCAAGGAGTGGCTGACCTAGCCTGCCTACCAGTGTTTGTTCATTTAGTGATCAGAGTGGATCCAGACTGCACAGGGTCTGTACTTCCGCAATTTGGGAAGCTGCCTTTAGGGAAAAAAATTGAAATTATTAATATAGAAATTAGTATTGACATTGCATATGATTATTTATAACAGAAACGGTGAGAGGTCTGCAAGCAGCCCTAAGGTGGGAGCTGTCTCTGCCTCTCAGGCCATTTCTAAATTGTTTGCTGTATATATTCGCTTACATCCACCCTTGTGCTGCTGGCGCTTTGTGACCAAAACTCAAAACCACACACATAGCTTACAGTGGTTAATATAAAAATGGCTGTTTTTATTTTTATAAATTATTGATAGTTCTTTAAATATGTGACAATCGGCAATAAGAAAGATAATATGAAGAGTCAGCTGTTACATTAATGGCTTTTTAAATACGTGCATAATAATTTAAATTTTGTTCTGCACATCATTTCACATGGATGGTATTTATTAAAATAAGCTGATTTACTCTTAAGCATAAGATTCTATTTAGTGATTAAGTACATTTGAAGTGAATTTCACATCCCTGTGTTACAGGATTTTCACAGCACTCATACATTTTCTCTACATTGTGGAGTGAAATTTGTATTTGACTTACAAATGAAAATTTCTCCCCTTACTTTTACTCTTTTCAGAAATACTGATGCAATTTTAAATCAGATATTTGTATTATCTTTGGGTTATCATCTATCTGACTCATTTCTATGTAAGCGAATTGGTAAACAGATTCAAGAATACTGAAGTCTGTCTATAAAGATTTTCCTAAGCTACAAGCTTACAGGATACCATTTAATGCATAGCCAACTATCATAGCGACAAGTTGTATTTTCTTAAAAACCCTTTGGTATGTTGTATCTTTGATCTGTGAAGGTAATGAGAACCATGCTTTAATGCACCATCCTATACTTTTCCACTTGTGGAACTCATTACAATCAAGATATAATTAGGTACAGTAACTTAAAATCTTGCCTAGGTTTTATAATGGAAACTTCTCTGCCCATTTAAAGAATTTGTGCGGATGGAGAGGCCATTGAGCCTGTCCGTGGCCAGGTCTGCCTTTGTGTGCATCTGATGGATGATATTTGTGTAGGCAGATCTAAACCCTGCTTTTTTGTTAGAAAAAGTATGCAACTTTTAAAAATTACAAACTAGAAGTTGTAAAAGAATAAACTGAAAATACAGGGCACTTTTAGAGATCTTCTGTATTCACTTTCCCTGCTGCTTTCTTGCAGATGGATAGCTTATGAAGGATCCAATTTCTTGGGAAGACAAATCTTACTTGAGCCTAATGAGATCCCAAATTGGACAGCATTCAGTGGCTGGAAAACAATTGGTTCTCTTCGTCCCATGAAGCAGGTAAGGAAGTGAGACACTTAAGATCCAGAATATCTTCATTTGTCTTGTAAAAAGGTCGTAAGCCAAATCTGAATATTGTCCACTTAATTTAGTTTGCCATTTATGTAAGAGGAGGTGAGTAAATAGGCAGGGATTTTAGCCCTGGGACCAGTTTTATTTACCAAGTTCACTTTTCATGGAAAAATAACATTGTACACTGTGTGGCAAACAGTGGAAACAAGACTGGACTTTGATACTCTGTTAGTTTTACTTTCTTAGCATTTAGATTTTTTACCTACTTATATAATAAAGTTGGATCCTGGCAGTTTAATTAAAATAATATTTATTGCACATTTACTGCTGTAAATCTTCTGTTAAAATCTTCCCGCTGCACTTAGGATACAGTCCTCACAATCAGTTGGCCTGTGTAGTAAGACTCCCCCTGCTTCTCCAACTTCTTCCCACCTGTCTCCTCACCAACATGGCTGTGTCACGTGTGCCCAAGTGCAGAATGCTGTCAACAAGGCTGTGCCCTGCGTAGAACGTTCTTTGTCATTCTTTGCTTGGCTAGTCATCCTTCTGAATTCAATGTGTCAGGTCCTAACCGATACCTTCTATCCTCTCTCTCAGTCTAAATGGTACCAGAGAAGACTTGGTCCTTTTTCTGCAGCACACTACATTAGAACTATGAAAGAACCACTGGCTGGAATTGCTCTAGGTCTGTTGAAAAGGTCATCAGGTGCAATAATTGTGCATATTTTGCTTACTGCTCTGTCCCTAGTACCAGTCACAATGTCTGGCACTTTGTAGGAACTCAGGGATTGTTTAAGGAATTAATGTTAAAATGAATGAATAAATATTTGTTGCCATGAAATGTGTAATGGAAGATAGAAGGGTAGGTATGATTTTTGCCTAATTAGAGCTTATATTTTTGTTGGGTAAACATGTTCAAATCAAAGCTGTAACACAAAATGCAAAATAGTATATGATTGTCAAAAAGCTATAGGCCGTATCTGGGTCAAAAAAGTAAAGTACCAGTCTGTGTAGACCTGGTGAGATAGTTTCATAGGAGACAGAAAATCCAAGCAAGTCTGTCAAGTATGATGCTTGGTAGATGTGCCACTTAATCTCTTTAGAAATACTTTCTCACTGGATTTTGACAGAAGTCCTTTGAATAGGAATTATTATTCCCGTTTGTCCTAAAAGTAAGACACAGAGAGGAAAAGCACAGATAACCCATGTATTAGACTCAAGATTTTAACCTATATCCCTTGTTCTAAAATCTGTGGTCTTAAGCAACATGATTTACTGTCATCCAAAATAAGATCAGCATTTACAGGTTGCCACCATTTATTCCAGGAAAGTGTAGCACAGTGGCTGTATGTGCTGAGGCACAGATGTCTTATGGTCTTCTCTTGCTGTCTCCTTCACACACAGACACACATGCACAATGCTCACTCTCACCACCCTTGTATCTCTTGGTTCAGATCTTGGCTCTGCCATTTGCAAGCTGTGTAATTTTGGCGAATCACTTTTCTTGGCACCTTCAGTTTCTTATTGGTGAAACAGTGACCACTGTTTACATCTCATTGTGTGAATTAATGTATGCAGAGGCTCTCCCACAACCTTACTCATGCTACTATGCCAGTACATTTTTCCTGAAGGGTATTATTCATGATGTCCCCTGAGGAGACTCAGTGGTGCGCTACTGAAGTACCCCAAAACACAAGTGACTTTCCTGGCACAAAGTGTGCAGTTGAGGATCTCCTCACCTGTCCATCTTGTTGTCAACGCATGGGATGATGAGTAACCCACTGAAAAGGCATACGGAAAAGCAAGGTAGAAGTAGCTTTCACCAACTACATAATCATTTAATCCTGTTTCAAAAACTTTAGTAGCCAAGCTTAACACTAAACATTTTCCTGTGTCTCCCTGCCCTGCCCCAGGCCTAGGCCTCAAGTGAACTGCACTACCAGATCCGTCTTTCTCAGTTTTGAGTGGTGGCTCCCTACTACGCAAGGGAGCCCCTCCCCACTGTTCAGGACCCTGAGATAAAGAATGATGAGACTAGCCTGTAATTTTACAAGGAACTTTTCTGACAGTAGAAATGATATACTTGCATTGCATTTTAGGCACTGATTCCTACTGATTAAACATTTTAATTTCAAAAATTTTTAAAAGGTTATTTCCCTGTTGTCCACCTGGCCCAAAGCTTTTGCACCCAGCAGGAATTTGAGTTCCTAAAATAATAATTTGTGGGTTACATACATTTAACTTTTTATGTAAGCATATTAGTACTGTTTTAGTTCATACTCTTGTTTAGAAACTCAGCAGTAATTAAAATAATCCTCTTTGAGGCTGGGAATTAAGAAGTCACCAAGGTACTTGTAATGCATATCTGTGTTTTTAAGTATAATTACAGTGGAGTCAAGACTACAAATGTGTAATAAGGGTAATTAGTACCCTGCTTGATTTAATTGATTAAAACTGTGATGTTTAGTCCTAAAGTAATTGGAATTCTGTCATCTGTGAAGGTCATACCTGTTTTCTTATGTGTACAAGGTAGTGAAATTATAATAAAGATATACTGAAGCAAGAATTAGTAATAGTTGTAGTGGGAGACCAAGCTGAATTACCAATTTTTAGGTTCATTATGGGTTGTTTTACAAATGTGGAAGTAGTTTTGCCAGTAGAGGCCTTGCTCACCAGCTTTAAATGACCAAATAATTTGTCTTCCCGTTTGCTCATTTAAGTGTTCAGAATGTTTAGTTTATTAGGGATGCTAAAGATTGTAACAATTTACCAAAAATCCAACTGGTCTATGTTGTTGTGTCATATGTTTCAAAAATATAGTGAGCCCTACTATGTTGTATGTACACAGTGCTTAAATGTTTCAGGATGAAAATATGGTCTTATTAAGTAACTTACTTTTATTAGCCAAGATTCTAATTTCAGTGCCAACAACTGGCCAAAGAAATGTTCTGTTTTTATTACACTGAAGATAGACCTACATCATGGCATTCAAGAAATGGTTTCTATTGAGCCCTGTCTTATTTTCTTTTTATACTACCAGCAGTTGAATCAGTCTTTTTGAGACAGGGTCTCACTATGCAGTTCAGGCTGGCCTTGGGCTCATTTTGTAGCCCAGGTTGGTCTCGAACTTGCAACGATCCTCCTGCCTCTGCCTCTCAAGTGTTGGGATTACAGGCGTGCACCACCATGCCCAGTGGTTGAGTCAGTCTTAGTCCCTTTGTCTTTCAAGTAACTAGCACTGAGTTGGAGATATAACTCATTGGTATAGTGCTTGCCTAGTGCATGGGAGGCCTTGCATGTAAGCCTCAGCAATGGGGGGGGGGAGTTTGTTTCTACATAGGCCTTAGCCTTCCTACTTAAGAGGAAGGCTTTTGGTGCAAACAAGTACCTATATTATCCTCATTTGTAAAGCTAGGTCCATAATTGTATCTCCTGAAAGGGTTGTTCTGGTTGTTAATTCTGTCAAATAGAAAGGCTCAGTAAATACTAGCTATTATCTTAGTGATGAGTTCCACACTTAATATTTTAAAACTTCCTTTATAGATTCTAAGCCCAGGAGATAAGTCCTTTGTTACTTGATTTTTGAATAAAGTAGTGATTGAGCATATGTGGTCTCTTCCCTTCAAGCATGGAAAGGTCCTAGGTAAACAAAAAGATTACATTTTCTAGGACCCTCAGCTATCTATACCTTCCATACCAGTCATTTTGCATTTAAACATAGCTCAAGAAAGCACGTTTGATGACTGTTTTTGTCTTTCCTAAGCTGTTGTAAGATCCTTGTAGGTGGTATCTTGCCCTTGTTCCCACCATCTTAACATAGCTCTGACACATTACTGAATGAAACGAATGTCCTGAATGCTTCATCACCATCCCCTTGCTATGCAGACTTCTAGTGAATGAAACAATTACCTTTTACTTTTTCAAAAGGGTACTTCTTAGAAAGTATGACTATATAATAAATCTTTGCATTTAGTTGTCTTAAGGATTTATCAACAGAAAATAGTTATACATAAATTAGCTAAAGGAAATAAGAGTGGCACTATCTAAATAAGCTCATTACTTCTCACTTCCCCACTCAGCTTTTCTTTTTGGAAGGATTACTTCCACATTCAAAAGTTTATTTGTACATGCCTCTTTGTCCTGTCGCAGCCTGCAGTGTACATCAGAATAAAGAACCGAGCCCAGGATGAGTATCTGACAGTCACTGGAAATGTCGCAGACAAAAGGGCAACTTCAGTGTGTATATCTCCCTATAATGGAAAGAATACTCAGATCTGGCATTACTGTCGAGGACTCTTTAAATCCAAGGTACTCTGCTTTTTGATATTTCATATTTTTGTTTAGGAAAGTGGATTCTTGCCAGATCAATTGGCATAAATAAAACAATGAAACTTCCTAGGTACAGGTCATTGCATGGTCATAAAAATACTTGAATGCTACTAAAGCATTTAAGTAAAATGGACTAAGATGATTCTTTGATCTAAAAGATTCAGTTTTAAGTAAAAACTGAAGGTTATCATATATGGTAGATGTGTCTAAATAAAATTTTTTAAGCCAATGATGTAAGTCACTGGATCTGAATTAGAGCAACATGCTTGAGACATTCCTCATTTGAAAAACAGATAGATCAGCTGTTGGTGTGTTCTAGAAATGTTAAAACATTTTTATTTTCAAGATGTAAAAGAAAGAAGCTATTACTGGAAAAAGCTTAGAAAATGAGATTTAGGTATGATTTTTTCCTCTGTGTCCTCTGTTATTCTGATGCTATGGGAGATAAGGTACTGCTTTAAAAAAAATTAAAGTTAGTGTATCAACCAATTTAGTTCTCACACTTCAAAAAATGAAGTTTTTAAAAGTAATTATTGTCTGGGTATCTTCAGCATACCATGGGGTATTTTTATTAAAAAACTAAGCTCCACATAATCTGTCTTAAGCTAATAGATGCTTAATGGTTAATTCAATTCAATAAACTCTCACTGAAAATCGGCTGTCAAATGTTCATGTCCTTTTAACGAGTATACGTAGAATGTAGTGATGCATGCCTATAATCTTAGCACTCTGAGAGGATGAGGCAGGGGAATTGCAAATTAGAGCCCAACCTGGACAAGTAAGTGACTTATAAGAGCCTGTCTTAAAAAATAAAGGGCTGGGGATATAACAGTGCAGAGGCCCTATGTTCAATTCCCAGTACCTCAATTAATTTAAACATGTAACTTTTGGTCCCTATATCATCTCACCTCAGCTATAAAGACTTTCCTGAAATATTTTTTAGCTCAGACACAGACATCTAATATCTATGATTTGCTCATCTGAAAGAAAAGGGACTCATTCAACTTACTTTAGCAAGCACAGGGCACTATTGCTTTTTAACTTTTTAACCTTTACAGGCCAGTGATACATGTCTTGATGTGATTGGCGGTCGGGATACTCCTGGTGCTAAGGTGGCCCTATGGACTGAACATGGACAGTTTAGGCAGAAATGGAAACTGAATAAAAATGGAACTATCAGCTCTTATCTCAGTGATCAACTTGTCCTTGATGTTAAAGGTGAGCCTCAGATAACACACAATGTTTTGTGTTCCTGGATATCAATTTAAGTTTCAGTCCTCCTCTTTATGTAGGGACATTCTAATTTTATATAAGGGAAGGCAGTTTTAATTAGGCTTGAAAAAGTTAAGATGTACAATTTTACAAACCAAACAAAATATGGGTTCATATTTTTGTTCATTAGTAAAGTTATAAAATTTTCATATGTAACTGTAATTTTCATGAACTTTGAGAATAAGTCTTAAGTAGAAGCATCATAAACCATAAAATGAAAATGTCGTCTGTTTCACAGAAAGGAGCATCCATAACTTTATTTTGCCTTGAATTGCCATTGCTTAAAAGCCTTCAGTTAAGATTTATGGAAGGTATCATTATTCTTGTTTTTGAATTTGGAGAGGTTAGGGCCATTATTATTCATGGCTTTTGCTTTAATTGGGATAGTCACACCACTGCTGGTGTAGAAACAAAAACACAGTATCTGACATCCAGCCAGAATTCCTTCAGGGCACTCTGTTATGAAGCATGGCACTGTTATCATGTGTAGTTTTTCAGTGTGAGTCATAATAAGGACAGTCGGAGGTGAACAGTGTTTCAGACAACTCTGTAAACTATATACTAACCTACTTAAAAAGTGGGCTGAACAAGTTTGTAGAATTGTGAAATTGCTAAGCACCTGTGTGAACAAATGATGCTTTCTTTTGGAATTTCTACTTTAGGAGGAAATTATTATGACAAGACTCATGTCATTGTAAATCAGCCCCTGGAAGGAGAAGAAACACAGAAATGGGATATTGAAATACTGTGAGAATTAACAACTTTAGAGCAAAAGAACCTCAGTCTCCCTCATTGTCTTACACATTTGGAAAAGAAGCTACTGTGTCCTCACCTGCTGGAACCCTAAGTGAATGAATTTCCCCCCCAGTATCCAATACTATTTCTTTTCAACCACTGAAAAGTTCAAAATGACTCTTGCCAATTAAGAGTTCTCATAAAGAAAATGTTGTTTCTAAAAAAGGTTTTATTCAGATGGATCCCAGTAGTGGTGAGCGAGTTTCCAGAATTCTGTGTTTTCTCTACCCCCCATCAAACATGAATCCTGTGACACTGTCACTGTATTAGTTATCAGTATCTTTACACTGGTTACTTCTATGAGTGCACAGGGAAACAAACTCCTGGAGGAGGTCATCATTCTTTTACATAGATGAGTAATTTTTAACATCTGAAAACATTTAATAAGCCTTACTGTTAAGCTGCTGTTTCATTAAATAAGCCTTCAAGTTTCTATACCAAAACTTTTATAACTGAAGCCAACCCTTAAGTTTTTAAACAGTACTTTTAACTGACCCCTACAGAGGGACTGCTGCAATACTGGGAGTTTTTTCTGTAGCCATTCTTTACTCAAAAAAAAATGTACAACTAACCTTGCAGTGCCAACCTCTAGTTACAATCTAATATTAACAAATACATCCATCTAGGCAGCAAGACCCTTAACAACGGTTCCTATCCTGGTGCTAAAACCTTGCCCTAGATTTTGCCTGATTTGCCCTTAAGGCAAAATGTTTAGAAAGGCTGTGTTACATAATAGTAGTCAAAAAGTTTTTGTCTGCCTCAAGTAAAAGGAAATTCCAAATGTTCAAATTAAAACAAAGTAGTTTGAACTTTGACCTTACCATCTTACTGTGCAAGTAAAGGTGCACTAATTTCTCTACTTAATGACAAAGAATTCAGTTTCCATTCTCATTTTGAGGAGCTCACATTTAGACAAAATCAGGTAGGAAATCATCTGACTACTAATCTAAATGCCACCTTTAATAACACAATTCACCAGTATTTTTCCCTCGAGTTATATTAAACTTACCTTGAGACAATTACTCCTTTTATCTTCCTATTTTTGCCAGGAGGCAGAAAAATGTTATATTTTTATATAGAGAAATTAAATTATCCAGTGATATTTTTAAAAAATATCAACCTTTATGCACTTTAGAATGTAAAATAACAGTGAATAGTTTAAACTCAAAGAGCCCATTAGCTTGAGTATTTTTATAGGCTTGGTCTTTCCATGTAAATACTGGTTGTCTCCTTCCTCACTCTTGCAGTCTCAGGCTCTTACCTTTTAAACAGCATCTGAAACTCCCTTACATCCATAGATGAATGCCTCTTAAGCATGTGGTGGTATAAAGTGAAACTTACGTTACACAGAAAATGATTTCATGGGGTGGGGGCTTGCATATACATTAAAAAGTATGTATATTTTCATTGTAAAAAACCAACTTAAGAAAATTGCTCAATTTTTTAGAGCCAAAGAAGCTCTTTAAAGAAGTTATTCCAAAGAACCAAGACAAAGTCAGGTTAATGACATTTAATTCTACATGATACATTTATTGGTGTTGTGCCCTTTCTACCACACTGGATGAAATAAACTTTCAAAAGCATGGTTTGGTCACATTTTGGGACATCTAATACTTCACTGTTTTTTCTTCCATTTGCTCATCAGTACCCGTACGTCTCACAGAAATGACAGACACATTGAGAGATAAAGGGATGGTGACATTCTGTTTTGGAGTCATGTGTTTGGCCACTACTTAGTAGGTGGACTCAAAACAAGAGTAACTGCCTAGCACTTACACCTTCCCTTAAAAAAAAAAAAAAAAGAAGAAGCCAGCAATCGTTTGCTTGTGGAAAGGCACTACACTACTTGGATTAAACATTCGGTCCACAGGGACAGTACCAAGTTCTCCTTTTCCTCATCTGTAGTTAGTTTCAGATTCTTGACAGAAATAGCTGAACTCTCCCATATTTGCTTCAGTGCATCCACGTGTGATAAAGGAAACCGAAGTCCATGAGACTGAACGGGGTAAATTAGTCAGAAAACAAACATGTCACTGAAGTGGCATTTCTGTAACTCCCACAATTCTCAACACACTATCTAAAATTGTTACAGTGGGCATCAAGAATGAACCATTTATACAGAGTTGCCGATATCCACATGATGCCTGTACTTCATGAAAAGCACTGTGACTTAATTAGAAAGTGATACTAGTCTTTTAAAATTAATGTTTTAGAACTGGTCAATGTGTATCACAGGATTGTCTGACTTACCCCTTTCTAAGGACTCTATCAATCATGTGAAATGTAAGCCCATACCGCAGGCAAAAAACACTACTGCCTACAAATAAAAGTTTTCCCAGCTTCCCTAATCACAGAAAAGACATTTTTCTGTTGGAACAAACCTCAGTTTCCTCATTTCCCATCATGTGTATCTCTCTCTTATTCTTTAGAGAATGATAGATGTAAACCATCTTTTCTTGAGCTTCATCCTTTAAAGGAAAAAAAAAAAAGTATTGCTAGTATTGCTGGCTTTAATACCAGGAAGTTTTTTCCAACAGGTCAACAGCAAAAAAACCCAAAAAACTTCAAAGTCTTGGTGCACAAATGAAATTTATCAAATGCTGTAAGGAATCCTCTGAGAAAAGTACTGTATATATTTCCTTAGTCATCAAGACAGCTACCTGTATGTAGTACTTAAAATCACTTTTTTTAAAGCCTGCATCTTTATTTATATACCAGCTAATCAACTGGCAAGGTTACAGTTGTTTCTATTTGTACTTTATCATCCAAAATTAGTAATTTTGTATAGTGATTAACCGAGGGACTACACCAGCTGTATGATGTATAAAACATTCCAATTTCACTAGAGGTCAAATGACTTCTACTCCTAACCTACCTGGTGCATTTTATTATCTCTTCTAGAACTTTGCTCATATCACGTTACCTCTTTGACAATGACCAGAAAACTTTGGCCTCACACAGTATCTCAAACTGACTAGTTATCGGAATAACTTGGATATATTTTCTAAAGTATAAGTGTGTACTTCTGAGATGTTATGTATCAGATTTATCTAGGTCTGACCCTGATGGCTAGAAAAGTCTGATTAAGAAGACATGTAAGTGCCCTCTCCCCTCAGTATTTCATTGGGTACCTCTCAAGACAGATGATAGAAACAAAAAGGCAAAGGATAGTTCCCCAAAGTTCTTGGTTTATAGGGAGCTCTGAAAAACCATAAACACAGAGTCTAACCCAGATCAGATGATGACAGGAATTTATCAAAGGTTTCCAGCTGATTGTATGATCAGTTACCCAGGGCAGCAATCACTAGGTTGGGTGGTAAGGTTACAGAATATAGATTCTGTTCTCCATGATCTACAGGATAGTTTTTAGTAGAAGAATGAATGGAATCACAGAAAAATAGATCTATGTGTACTGTAGCAAATAAAAGAGGAACTGAGGCAGGGATTCTCACAAATAGGTCTGCAGTTGTCTAAGTGAGGGCAATACGGTCTGCAGTGGGATAAGAAGCCGAGACCAGATCCACATCCCACAAGGGGAATGAATGAGACTCTGTGGATGAGAGCAAGCTGAAAGATACCCCCCAGGCAGGGAATCTAAAACAGTGAGCTTTGGGCATTATGTATTAGCTTTCAGCTGTGAATACAGATGGGTTCCCAAGCGAGAAGGACAGGGAAAAATGATCCTTCTGATGGTCTTATGCCTGTGCTATAAATATCCTAGAAAGGAAACCTCTTCTCTTGGATACTCACAGATCCATTCTCATCTGGCCCTACTGTGAGGATGATGTGATCTTTAAATTGTAGGCTCACTGTGCTGTTCAACCTCGGTATCTGCCCACCTAGAAAATCCGGAAGAAAGAAAAGCTCATCATCAAAAACAGACACCAGCGATTCAACTTAGCATATACAACTATTTAGGAAACACTAAACCTATAGGCAAATCCAAATGTGAAATGTCCTCTGCCACTCAAGTATTTGCTTACTCTAACATTTTTATGATATTAAAAGTGTAGTTTATATCCTTGTGAGGCTCATTCTTTAGTGAAGACAGACATGTATGTAGATAACAATATAAGCTGGTAAGAACATTAAGTAGGTACAGAAACTGTTGAACCATAAAAACTGTCACAATTGATAGGACTGCATTGTCTTAAAACACTCTTCCAGAAGTTTCTATCCTTTATCAACTTCTTGTCACACTTCTGGATCCTGCACAACTCTCAACGTCAAATTGCACCACCACACCAATTCTTAGCTGTGGCACATCAAGTGTGGGCAGGTCAAGCATATTATCCTATAAAAGCCATCCAATAATGTTCATGAAAAAAAACTCAAAAAAACTTTTAAGTGGATTTAGTAAAAAAGCAGCCATTAAAAACCCCACTATACTCATAGAAGATCAGAGACAACACTGACACTCTTCTGTTTCACCCAATGACAGCATTTTACCCATCCTTGCCTTAGATCTAGCGAGATAACTTCAGTGTTTAAATTCTTAGGATTATGAACAGCAGAATCCCTTAAATATACATACCCAAAAAGGATGTTTATTCTGCATGACACTGAAATACACCAATTCTCTGCAAATGACCGCTAAGGTATTAGATACGGAGTGCAATACCTCCAGTCCAAATACACATACTCAGGGTAAATTCAGGTTCACCTTAAAACTAAAATGCTTCCTTCTGCCTGTCCAAAAAGGATCCTAGCTAGCAAAGCCTCAAATACCCCCACACCCCCAACTGCCTAGAGATGAACATCAAGCTCCACCTGGTGTTGATAACTCTGTTCCATCTCCTACATAGTAAGGGGGAAGTCTGTGCATAACAAAATCCTTCTTCATGTCTGATGAAAGTAGTTCCTTAGTGCCCTCCAGCCGTTCTGCAAGAGTCCTGAGAAAGCCACTTAATGTTCTTGTTGCAACAGCTGATGTCTCCACCTGCTAGAAACAAATGAGCACAAGCTTGGACTCCAGGAGTGTGTGCTGCCAACTACCATCTCCACAGTAATATGCTGAGCTCAACGCCCACCTCATGCCCTGGACCTGAATCTGTGTCATTACAAGACAGGGGAGGAGAGGACACCACCAGGCCTTTAGAGGCACTGTTCTATTGCTTCTTAAAACCAATGCCCATCTATTATGAAACATCAGTTTTCAGAATTATGCGTGAAAAGAAAGAGTGATCCTTGCAAATAACAGTACAATCTGAGCGCTCGGCTTTAGAATCAAGTCATTATTCTAAGATTACTGTTTCGGAAAGTAAGTGACCTTTGCTTTACTCAGCACTAAGGCACCTATCTTTTCAAAACCAACCTAATAGTACTCCTGTTTCAAATTGCAAGAGGACAGTAAAGTCAAGGAGTATGCCAATGCTAGGGTCTACAATGGTTCTCTTCCTACGTAAGGTGATGTGTGCTAAGCCTACAGTTCTGTAGAACTCTTTATTCAGCTAACAGTCCCACTTGCCTACTAGTGCTCTGAAATAAAGAGCTATTTGCTGTGACAAACACAACTCTGAACAGCTATCTGACAGGTAGCACACTCCATTCTTTCTGCCAGTCCTTCAGGGGAACATGCAGACAAGCCAGGTTCATTTGGGGAGAAGGTTCCCAGCATCCCCGGGTGGTGGGTCTTCTGCTGGCCTGGGCTATACCCTTCATGTCTACCTGCCTTTATTCCTTACCATGAGCAGCTGTCGGGGTATTCCACGCCGTAACTCCACATCATCCTTTGCAGTATCAAACACAAGCCCCGACATGGTGTCCAAAAGGAAATCTCCCCATGAACTAGAGCATGTGCAAGAGAGAGAATAGTAAATGCATTTTATATATATAATATATAAATATATATATAATAATTTATTATATATATATAATAATTTTATATATATATATATATATATATATATATAATAATTTTATATATATATATATATATATATATATACATATATATATATATATATATATATATATATAAAATACCTATTAGTAAAACCAAAAGCTCCAAATTGGGTTCCAACCTTCCTGTCCATACATCCTAAGCTCAGCATAAAAAACCTAAACCTTCCATCAACTCAGGTTCACACTTGAGAAGCTAAAAGTGGGAAGCTCAAATTCTTTCACGATTTAAAAATACCAGAAAATCAGATACTATCACAAAATACAAAGTTCTGAAGATGAAGTTTTAATGCAAGTGTCCATGAGAGAGCTTTGTAGACTATTTAAACTCTCATAAGACCCAGAAAAAACATTTTATGCAATAAATCTAACAGGAATATATTTAGGGTAACTGAAAGATCTCTGTGCTATGTAATTATGGGAACAGTTAAATGTTACTTTCTTTTGTCATTTATTAAAGAGAAACTATTCCTTAGTTTAAAAAATGTCTACTAACTTCAACTATTGTATTGATTTCCAGCAATAACTGCAGCATTGGGATAGAAGCGGGGGGGGGGGGGGAGACTAGGAATGCACATCAATGTTGGATTACCTCTGCTTCCGCTGGGGTAGTTAGAATTTCTTGCTCCCTTCCGGGTGCCAGTGTGAGAATCATGTGCAGCAGGGCTGTTCTCTTTAAACATTTCCTAGCTTGTTTAAAATTTTTTCTGTGCTACCAGCAGATTTTAAATTGTTAGCTAGGTGCCAAATGGAAATTCACAGTATGAATTTTGCTGCTCACACTGTAAGGAAATCAAACCCTTTTCTGCTTCCATTCTGGATAAGAGGCAAAGAAAGACAGAAGCTGCTTGAGACACACTTTCCCCAAGGCATCCACTACCTGGCGGCCTCTCTGCTTTGTGACTTTTTTATTAAAGAGAAAAAAAATAAAAATTTCACAAGATAATGGAGGGTAACAATGTGACTTTATAGCACTTCTGAGCTCATATCTTTTAGTGAACTTTAACCTAAACTTCTCAGTAGCATAAAATACCCCCTTCCTTTGCACAGTAATAGATGGAACTCGTAAGCCAACAGCTCATGGCAGAATTTAATGGCAGTTAAAGTGTATTCTATGCTCTTCCAAGGGATCTCAGAAGACTTTACAGAATTCAGGAATTACACCTCAGAGGGATTCACTTAGGTAAAACAGCCAGTCAACCTGCTGCTGCCTTACACGAGACCCCAAATGTTCCAACAGTGCTGCCTCGAGAAATGTTAGGAATAATCCCCAAATCTTCACTCTCCTGCAGTAGCTGAAGGCGCCCTGGCTCAGCATAGAAAGCAGTGGTCCTCATTCTAGCTCTGACATTAGTTCCAGACACAAGGTACAGGTCAGAGTCCACCCATAGCCCTGGGCAGCAACTTCTAAGACAGGAAATTCCTCCTGAGCCACATCAGACAAGAAAAGAGCAGGCTTCCAGTCTTCACTCATTATCAGGGCAGATGCTTAGCCGAAGCAAAAGCTAATGGGCGTAATGAAACAGGGAGGTGAGGAAGTACTGATGATGGCTGACTTACAATGAGCCAACACTGGGAGTATACCTAAGCTCAGGAAAAGGAGGTGCAAAGAGCAATTACTAGTAAACCAGATGTGACAGCACTGGGATAAACAGAAACAGAGAGAAGGAACAAACAGTAGCTGAGTAACATGGCACCGGCAGATGCACTCATGTTCACAGGACCAAACTACATGGCTGCTAAGGTCCAAGCTAGTCCCAGACTGTGGCCTGGCCCTTCGCTAGTTCCTGTCTCATCCCCTCAAGGGCCCCTCCTCTTCACAAAGCAGCCTCAGACTTTCTGTTTCTCCTTATCAAGGAACCAAACTAGCCATAATAACAAAAGGCATTTTCAACATGGAAGCCTAATAAAGCTTTGTCTTTTTACTCCTGGATACTTCTAAGCAGTAATATAGGCCAAACTCCAGGTAGTTCCTCCAGCAAGTCTCTTATTAAACAGAGGCGTAAATCTCACATTACACTCAGGTGAGAAAGAACAGGTATGAGTACTAACTTGTTTTGCAAGTCACAGCTATGAAGGTAGGAGGGAACTTGCTGTCCCTTGTGCCTGGCACCTGGCATGACCTCTCTTATTCTGACCCGCCCTTATTTATTCATCCTTAAGACTCACTCAGTTTTGGTGTAAGTCATTTGTGAAACCTTCCCTGATGCCCCAGCTTGGCTAAGGATGCTTCAACTTAAGAGTTCAAACAGTCTCTTTGTAACCCTACAACAGAATTTATCACTCTTAGGCAACTGCGTACATGTGGATCTCCTGCTCCTACCACCATTTCCAAAGTGTGAGGTCTCTCAAAGCACCATGAAAACATAAATGCTGACATTCCTGCAACTAGCAGTGTCCAGTGCATGCCTGAGGAGTAAGTTAACTAACAAATAGTGTTTCTTAATGTGATCTTGATCAGCAAATTGCTACATTTTCTTAACAGCTCGTACAGAGGTTCCATCCAGTTCTTATGATTTTAATGAACTATCATCTCTGATTTTAGCTCCCACTAAAGTTTCTCCTTTTCCTACTTCAATTTTATAGGCTCTCAAACCTGGAAATTAAGGTGTGAGTTTCAAATGTTCCAGAATTTCTGTTTGGGGCTGTTGAAAATGCTTCAAAAAAAGTAGTGATTATTGTACAATGGTGTGAATATAATCAAAACCAACCCAACAAACTATACTTAAAATGGCAATGTTATGCAAGATACATATCTACAATAAATTTTTCCTTAAAAAGGAAGGAAAGAGACAGTATTCTGGCTCTGTCTGGCAGATTAAAGGACTGATGTACCCATAACTACTGTCTTTTAAACTTTCCAAACTATGATATTCCTTCACTGGGCAACTCCCAGTATCCTACATACAGTGAGATCTATGACTTTCCCAGGATGAAGCTGGGTAATCATACACATGGCACAACAAAAGAATATGGAAATCAGCAAGGTCCTTGCTGAGAGGTGGAGGCCACCCCCTCAGCTGAATGTGGCTGCAATGGGCTGTAACTTGGAGCTGTCCTAGAGCACTAGGCAGGAAGAAGAATGTTTACTTGTTCTGGTAAGTGCTGATGGTCACATGAGTAGAGTGGGCCAGCCCTGGAGGAGTGTCCGCCTGATGAATGGTCCCTCTGGGAAAGTACAACAAATCACCTGGCTAATGGCAGAAAAAAGGGAGGAAAAAGTTATTAAGAGGCATCTCTCTCAAATCTTTCTTAAAAAGATAAATACAGGCTTTGAGTTTCAGTTCTCCTTTCCAGAACCACTACCAAGAGACAGTCTGTATGCTGGGCTCTCCTGGTATCCAGTGAGTCCAGCTTTCCCCAGGTCCATTAGTCTGTCACTGAACCACACAGGCATTTAGGTCTAGCATTACCATCTCAAGCTGACCGCAGATATACCTGAAACTACTTCACCCCAATGTGGGATGGAAAAAGGTGAGCCCACTCCCTCCCTCTTAGTTAAGAGGATTGGTCATACAGATGCTGCAACTTATCGGCTGGTGACGAGGGTAATTTGTTTACCTCTCCTTAGCCTCAGTTTCTCTGTTGTTAAAATGGGGTAATAGCCACAAACCCCACAGGGTTAGAGGATTATGATTCTGCTGTTTCGAAAGCTCTTGCAGCAAGGATGGCTGTGTATGTGTGGATTATATATTTCATCTGCTTGCCCTCTACTGCTTGATAATCTGAGCTCTTCTATGCAGTTGGGCCCTTACCCATCCTGTACCCTGGGGCCTAATCTAAAGCACTTTCTATACAACACACGCTCAAAGAAGGTTAGATAAATGGATGAACCTATTGAACCTAAAAATTTTATCTACTAAATAGTCTGTTTTGTTTTGTTTTTCAAGGCATGGTCTTGCTATGTAGTTCAGACTGCCTTGAACCTCACTATGTAGCCCAGGCTGGCCTTAAACATGAGGTCAATCTCCTGGCTCAGCGCCACCCCCCCCCCAAGTCCTAGAATTACAGGCATGTGCTATGGGAGACCAGACAGGAAGATTGAAGCCTACCTGGCCTCTTCTGTGAGCACGCAGGAGAAAGGTGGCGTGCAAACATGCTGACACACTAAGGAAATGGAAAAACAGCTGAGATCCTGTTGTTTACCCAGACATAGGTGGTGGAGGCAGGTGAATCCTGAGTTACCATAAATGCTCTAAGGTAATAAACCAAGGTGTGCCACTCACTCAGGGCTTTTGTTGAACAGAGACAAGAGCCCCCTTGCTCCCCACATTTTAATCTAATTCTGTGTAACTGTGTTTCATCTTCTTCACCCCTCGTTCAGGTACAAGGTTGTACGGTGGCTCCTACACTATGCCATGACACCTGGCTCAACTATTTACTCTGTAAGCAGATGAGCCTCTTCTGCTCTATTCCCTCTCTCTTGAAGCAGTGCACAGAAATATGCTCCAATTATTCCTGTCCTGAACTACTTTCTTCTAAATCCAACCCAGACCAAAACATCCTGAGAAGGAACCTTGAGAGCAGCTCATCTCCTCTCTGCAAGTATGAGAAGCAGTTCAGCTCAGTTGCTGAGACAGCAGCCCTAGAGACAGGCTCACAAACTCACTGATGGATTTTAAAGCTGTTCCTCAAGCAGGAGGCAATATGCATTTTTTTTTTTTTTGGTCTTTTTCCTTTTTATCGGTACCAGGGATCAAACTCATGATTGCCTGCTTGCAAGGCAGGCGCTTATGCCGCTGAGCTAAATCCCCAGCCCCTAATATACATTTTTATATATTCATAAAGGACACTTTGTTTGCTGTTTTTTTCTCTGACACCAAAAATGACAGCACTTCAAGCAACTAAAAGTCTCACTGATGATTATAACTAGCTTTTACTGAGTATCTGTGCTAGTCCATGTGACTCCTTCACATACATAACCATTACTTTATTCTCACTAAGGAAATCAAGCAAGTTTTCTAAGAAACAGAATAAAGTTTAATTATGAAGCTATTCCTATCCCTTTGAGACTTTTTTCCTCAATAACGTTCCTTTTGGTGATTAGCTATGGTCCTAACTGCTCAAAGATAGATTTTCTTAGCAACAAGGTACCAAAAAACCAGTGCACCTGGCTCTCAGGAGTAAGAAAAAAAAAGCTTTCATAATTACTGTTCTTCTAACAGCTACATGAAACGAAAAGGAAGATTTTTCAGAAGACAGTGTGCTACATAATTAGGAGACAAACAGGTCATAATGAATTTCTGCAGCAAAAACCAGGGATTCTTGGCTGTACTATGCCTAAGCTCAGTACTGTCTTAGATGTGAACAAACTACATAAGGCAAAATCTTCCACTTCTCTTCTGGAGAAGCTGGGACTACACTGAATTCCACTTATTTATGTTAAACTAGATCACGCATTGATACAGACTATTCAGAATTTAACACTTTAGTTCACTTCTTTAAGTACAAAACATAATACTCCAGAAGCTGCCTGTTTTGGCTACTTACAATGAAAGCCACCATGCCCTAAGTCCCTGGGATATATATATATATATGCCTGTGAGACCAGTACACAAATTTCTAAACTTAAAGCCTGAATTTATCTTAGCAACAGTGATACCCAGCTCAGGAGGTGCCCACTTGGCCATCCTGTACCTTCAATGTAAACTCATGTGTTGGCGCACCAAGCCGGGCCTCAGGCTCCACACTGTACTCGCGTGCCAGGGCCACCGTGGGCGTGTAGAGCCGCCAGTGTTTCTCTCCTTCCAGCTGCAGGATGAAAACCTGCAGAGAGCCAGGAACCTGAATTGTCAGAGAGCCTCCTAATAACTCATAAGCAAAATGCTTCCAGAATATCAGCCCTCCCAGGACTGAGACCAATCACATATTTAAAATGAAAGTGAATGATCAGAAATGCATGTCACTGCATAGAATATAAGCTGCCACTACTGGTTTTTATTTTTAAAAACATAATCATGAATCCTGATAGTGGATATTCACTTTGTTAGGGCATAACCAAGTCCTTTATATCCCACTATCTCATTCCTTTAAATCTTCTCAGAGAGCTGAAAGCCTATAATCTCTGGTGGGGAAGCCAAGCTTTAGCTATTGCTGAATGTCTAAAATCCCCAAAATTGAAAACACACTGGCAGACAGGCATACTTAAAAGTTTTTAATGCCAACGATGTTTTAATGCTCTATTTAGAATATGCGTTTTAAAAGCACTTTTAGAAAATGTACTGATGTCAAATGCTCTGAGGGAAAAAAGGACTTTCTACTAATATCTCTGTGTTCGCACCTTGTACTATATTAGCACAAAAATGCAGCTATGAAATCCTAAGCCAAATAGTTAACTTTTTTTTAGAAGCCACATGAGTGAAATCAACACTTTCAAGGTACCAGTGCTTAGGTGAAACCATGACCCTCATTCAGGCTGCCCCAAGATTTTCATAAATGGAAAAAATATATGTATTTTTGGCAGCTATTGAAAATGAACAAAATAAAAGCCGATGCATAGATTTGTGATCTCACCTTATTTTTCCTTTGTAAAATTAAGAAGTTAGTCACTTTTCTACAGCTAAATTCAATAAATATCTGTTTCAAAGGAATGCATGGCTCTATTTGTAAGGTTGGTACTAACCCCTCCCTTTGAGAAAGAGCAGGAAACCAGATTGGAGAAATCTTATTTTGGCCCAACATTTAGATGAAGTCAAACTCTCGAGAAAGTACAAAGAAAGAACAGCCACACACGTGGTTTAAGAGCCCTACATGATAGCATGAACTATGCAAACCCAGCTTCACAGCAACTCTTCTTCCTCACCTGGGGAATGTATTTTTTTTTCTTACCTCGACATCGTCATAATGAGGAGGCAGGCCCTGAGATCCTGCAGGGGTTATGTACACATTTGAGCCAACCAAGGAACCAAAGTAACACTCTAGTTTCTCCTGGATCTTCCAAAGCTCATCCTGAAGTAGGGTGAGAGAGGAAAAACAGATTACAAACTAATCTTTGTTCATTTACAAAAGCCTTACTGTACAATTACTACAACCAAGACAAGCAATGCAAATCCCTTCAAGAATCTTCCATTGGAAGCCGGGCGTGGTGGCTCATGCCTGTAATCCCAGCACTTGGGAGGCTGAGGTGAGAGGATCGTTTGTGAGTTCGAGACCAGCCTGGGCTACAAAGTGAGTTCAAGGCCAGCCTGAACTGCACAGCGAGACCCTGTCTCAAAAAAAAAAAAAAAAAAAAATCTTCCATTGGAGTGCAAACACCATTAAAAAGGTGAGCAAATAAATGAGAGATGGGCAAACTGGGAGTCCTAAAGGATTTTAGGCAGGAAGATGACAGGAGTACATTTACATTTTTAAAAGTGTCCTGGCTCTCCTGGAGAAGGGATGTAAAAATGCAAGAGACTAGTGTGGAAGCTACTGCGGCAGCAACTCAGGTGAGAAAACAGCAGATAGTAAAGGACAGGAGAGGAACACAGACAAACAGAAAAACAAGGTGTACTCTGGAAGCAGCACCAACAGCATATGGTGGAAATGAGAGAGATCAAGAAACTCCTCGGTTTCTGACCTGGCAATCTCCCACTTCCACTGAGAGGATGGATTGCCTAAATTTCTTTTCTAGGAGGAAAAAATGAAACAGTTGTATACTAGAGATATTACATTTGGGAGGCTAAGACACTCTCCTTCTTCCAATGGGAAGGTGACTGAAGTCTGAAGTTCTGACAAGCAGCAAGGACTTGAATTTACCTTTAGGAATTGCCTAACAATTGCCTTTCAATGGCAACAGAAATGACCGATCTGGGAAGCAAACGTAGGCATAAGAGTAAAAACATGGCCCAATAATACTTCTCCCTAGTCACTAACTAACTCTTCAGGCATAAGGCAGACAGAAAGCCATGTGAGGAGCCAAACACTCCTGTAAGACAAATCTGATTTTCCCAAGACAGATGAGAGGAGGGACAGGGAGGCAGCAATCAAGTCGCACCGATACTGGCATTTCCTATATGCCAGGTGCTGCCTCTAAGTGCTTTACACATATTAATTCTAGCACCCTCACAATAACCTGTCTTACAAGATGGGTGCTATCATTGTCTTTGTTTTGCAGATGAAGAAATCGAGGCACCAAAACACAGTTATTAAATAATGAGGCAAGGTTTCAAATCCAAGTAGCCGGGCTCTAAGAGTCCATGCCTCTAATATAATTCAAGAATAGATGAGTCACCTATACTAAAGAGGTCAAAGTTTTAAGCAAAGTTTCAAGTACACAAAATTAATTGTATGTATTAAAATATTTGCTGAGTAAACTAATGGCCACAGTTTAATCAACAGCCACAATTTGGAGGTCAGTCCTACTGTGAACTAATAACAATCTATGGTATTAAAAATACCAAGTGAGACAGACTTGAGTCAGTAAGAAAAGTTTCAAGATATGTATATATACACCACTGGCCATCTTTATTTACAGATCTCAGAAGTTCTCCTTAAACCCAGAAAAAAATTGTAATGCCTCTGAATTGCTCTGCAGAAGTAACTGGGGTACTCAAGGAGCCTAATTTATTCAGGGAGTGGCCAACAGAACCTGACTCTATACTTATATGGCAATTGGAACCACTGAAAAACTAGGGCTTTTCTGACTCTCCCTCTCTGCCATCCTGAGGTTCAGGACTGCACAGGTGGCTTTATGGTTCCCAACTCAAGCAGGAGTCACGATCTGTAACTGATGAAACTACATGTCTTCTCTTTTCAAAGGTCACCAAAAAAGTTATCAATTTTATCATCTGCCCATTTCTCTCGGATCTTTGGCTTCTGATTCTGCCAGCTGTGGATTACTTAGAAAGAGATGTGGAGTCAAACCACTTTGGTCTAAGTTGTAGTTACAAACTAGGTTTTTTATTTGTAGAACAGTTCTATTACCACATCACTCTAAGACCAGGCAGCAGCACAAAGCAACTCATTTCAAATCTTACTCTAATTAAAAAGCAATACCCAAGTGTTACTGCTTCGCCAATGCTGACTCAAGGACAAGCAAGCCTCCTGAAATCTGTCTTCTCCTTTACCACATGACTCCTAACAGGTTCATAAATGCTGAGGAGATGTGAATACATGACATAAGCAACGTAGAAGTTTCTCCCCAGCTGGGCTAAATCTCCCCGGTCCATTTACCTATCTCCAATTCCCCAATGTATATCTCTACAGAATCAACCAGAACGTCACAGCTAAAACCCACGTGTGTAACTGAAGGCCAAAGAAATATGGGAAAAGTCCTATTACATTTCAACCAGCATCTTTTGAAGTATGGTGAAATAATGACTTACGAGTCAAACAAGTTCGTATAACTATGGAAAAGTATCTAGTATTCCTAGATTAATAAACTGTACACAGTCTTAGAAGCAATAAACAAATGTCCACTCAACCTGACCACTGATAAATGACCACTAAACTTTTCTATTCTGATGTTAATATGCCCATCCATACACATACACACTAAACCACTTTATAATATTACTGAAGAACTTGGTTTCTAGTATAAGAGGGTGGAGTTCTTCAGTTGCTAAGTATTTCAGGTACTGGTGGTGGAAAGAGAAGAAACAGAACATCCTAGTCTACCTTGGGACTGAGAAAACTCATCTTTTCTGTATTAATAAGAACAGAATAAACAGGGTAAATGTCACTTAAGATTCCTGGAGGTTGCACAGAGCTTCCGAAAACAAGAAGAGAAATCCTGCAGGGAGACGACAGCAAAGTACAGAAATGATAACCACAGAGGACACAACAAACAGGCCTAATGGTAACCTTCTGCTGCTTTATAACCAAATTACATATAATCAGGTCCAATGAACTCATTTATGTTCATAGTTCTTAGGTTTCTAAAAGCCACTCTTAGAAGTGGTGCTTCTAATAAAGTAAAGAGTAATGTACTAGCTCAGAGAGAAGCAGTTTAATCATGATGACTGTATTTTCAAAATTCAAAGCACAACTTGGTCTGGGAAGGTATTTATAAATTTTACTAGGGGCTGTTACTAAAAAGCATTTCAAGACTATCTAAAATGAAATAACCAAACCATGACTTGTCCTGAATAAAGTACTTACACTTCATGCACAATGTGAATAAATTAAAGATTATTAGGCAAAAAGGGGAGAGATATTCATTAGATGAGGCCCAGTGAGTTCCAGCAAGCCAGTGCCTGGGTTACATTGAGAACCATTATTGGCAACTGATGGTCGAGCCCCAGGAGCAACTGATGCAGTCACTTTCTACTGCCCTCAGCATGGTACCCCACTTTCTTTTCCATGCTGGCACTTTGATTCAGCCATAGGTTACAGAAGGGGCTGTCTAAATAGAGATAAAGTCTTATCTAAGACTCAGGACAGGCCTTCAATTGTTCTGAGATGTCTGTCATCCAAAGTTCTTGCATCTCCAGGAAAGTAGACTAGCGTATCCTAAATCTGTATTTTATAAATGCAGAAACTGAGCACAGAGGAGGCAGATTATTGTCCAAATGCCCATCACTAACATGGAATAAATTTAAAAATTAGCCAGTCTTCTGGGCCGACAAAACAAAACTAACCTGCATTATGATGACCACTCCAGGAGCTATTCTAGAACTCTACCGCTCAATGCCACCAGTTTAGGTGTTAGTAAGAGTGGAGTCTCTTTCTTACACCTGTATCCGGTATGTGACCTGGTCACAGCTATGAAACTTCTACTTAGATGCAGACAACAAAAGGAAGCAACTTTAAAAAAATAATATTGATGTTATATCTGAAAAGATAGAGAAAAGACAAATCACAGAGCAATATCTATGATATACAAAAAACATAAACAAGGCCATGCAACATGGTCCTGGAGGAGTGATGCTACTTTAAAAGCTTTGTAAACTTACGATATAGCTTTTATACCTCAGTGTTACCCAATGTTTAGTCTGGGTTGCTGAGAGTCTCACAAGTTAGCTAAAGCCAATGTAGAAGTTAAGCTGAAATGCACTAAGACCAAACAGATGCTGCTTCTTTGCAAAATGGCAGAAGGCTCACCATGAAACCACATCTTAGCCTGGAGCTGATGTGTGACCAAATGTTAGCGCTTGAACAAATAATGAGGAGTCTGTAATGGGGAAACTTGTTACCTTAAATCTCTGAGGTTGGTGAAACTGAATTGTCGTCCTTTTCTGATCAAAATCTTTTCTCAGCTGAAGAAAGTGAACTTTGCCATCTTTATTTAAAACCTTCTTCTTCCCATTGATACACCGGCACACATTCACATCTCTTCCGTAGTACAAACTCTGGCCGCACAGACTCTTGAGATCTGTTAGCCTGAAGAGAGACTGGTAATAAGCGGCTAGTGCAGGGTCATCCCTCTGAATGAGGAGGGGCTTCTTCTCCCAGAACTCCTTAAAAAAAGTCTCTGTCTTAATGGGAGAAATTAAGCTTCCAAAGAGACTACTGGGGTCATCGAAGTTTAAGGTAGAAGCCCCTCGGACTGCCTCCACCTTTGCCTGTTTACTGGGAACAGGCCCTTCCTCCTTCCCATGTTCAGCAGGCTTTACTTTCTTTGGCATTGTTCTGTGTTCAAGATAAAACAAGGAAGAAATGCAAACCTACCAAAAGAACAAAGCATACATGATTAGGTCTTCAGAAATACCAGTACTGGTGTTAAGTGGGTCATATATGTGCACTGTGTAGGACCATTATACCTTCCTGAGAGTGCTTCCTTAAATCGATGCTACTAAGTTTACACCAGTATCATTTCTTCAGCCTCGGGTATGACTCAGACTCAAACACCGCTCAGATTATATATTCATCCAAAAGAAAACATGCTTTTCCTGCAATAAGAACTCCCTAAATTCATTATTTACCAGTGATAAGCTTAGCCTGTGGGCATTGACACAACCAAACTAAAAATCCTGAGTTTGGTTGCCATCAGACCCACGTCCTGAATCTAATTAGATGTACTTGCAGCTACAAACATTTGATGGCAGACAACCAATAGCTGTCCATTGCCTGGTGCTCTTCACTTCAACTACTATTCTGGTGGGAACCAACATCCCTGGAACAGAGGTGTCACCTGGTGGCTGAAATGAGGTGCTGTCTGATCCCAAAATCATTCTTCACTTCCAAACCCGAGTTTGATTATAAAAACCAGAACTTTATCAGAACCTCTCCCCTAATTAAAAAGCAAAACAAAAACCGAGGGGCTAAAAAGCAAAAGCTAAAAAACAATTATATGCCAAGTCTTGAAAAAGTTACAACTTTTTTGAGAACATGGCGGACACAAAAGAGCAACTACTGAATGCTCTCTAAAGGCTCGGCTCAGAGGCCAGGAATGATGCGGACTAAGGAGATACGAACCAGTAGAGATATGCTCTGCTGACTCAGGAACGAACTGGGCTGAGAGAATCCAACTTGGAATACAGTCCTGGCGCTAAAATAGGAACAGAAAAATCTCGGTGTGGAGGCTCGACTCCGCGCCATTGGAAACCGCGGTTTGGATTTCCCGCCGCCCGGCGACCGGCTACCTCCACAACGGCTCGGCAAGGAGAGACGCGACTGCCGAGCTCTGGGAACGGGAGTCTCCGAACGGAGTCGGAAACGCGACGGATAGGGAGGAAGGCTGACTGGTGGCGAGGTGAGCGAGAAACTGACTCCCTACCGCAGTTTGACTCCAGCGGAGGTTTTTCTGGGCGCGGGCAGTCCTGTAAGAGCAGGGCGCGGTGGCAACTGCAGCCGCACATTTCCCTCTCGGACGGGATTGGTGAAAGGTGCCTGGCCGGAGGGACGCTGCTCGCGGACTCCCTAGGCTGGCCTAACCCAGATCCCAGAGCCTGATGGTGGCCCGGAGGAGCGACCGACTCCCGCGTAGGCTGCCTCCTCCGCAACTCCCTGGGGCGCAGCAGTGAGCGGGAACAACTAGCCAGCGCAATTTGATCAAGCTGTGGCTGGCAGGCAGGGAAGCCGGGCCTCCTGTGTAAGATTACATTTTATAAGGAACAGAAAATATGGGGAAGGGAAGCAACAAAAAAGGCTCCTCGACCCCCAATCCTGAGAATCAGGCAATTGTGGACACTGCACCAATATACATTAAGCGCCATTTAGAGAGCCTCATAGACCAATTCAGGAATGAAGTTATCAATGACCTGAAGCTAGAAGTATGCAGAATAGTTAGAGAAATGCTAAGCACCACCCAGGAAAAAGCGGATGGTGGAATGGAAGAACAGAAAAAGAGGGGAGAATTGCTTGATGGAGAAAACAGAGAAAGCATTGAGTATGTGAAGCAGGTGCAAAGGGACTATCAAGAAATTAAGAAGTCTACCCAAGACTGGCATAACAGCTTGAAAGAAACTAAGGACAGACTATCTGAATTGGAGGGCAGACTTGAAACATGGGAGAATGAAATGAAAAACTTCTTAAAAATAACAAAGAAACACACAGCAATAATACAAAGACAAGAAGATGATAAGAGGAGCCATAACTTAAGGATTAAGAACATAAAAGAAGAAGTAGGGACACAAACAAGTGAACTACAAAAGCTACTCACAGAAATAATCCAGGAGAATTTTCCTAATTTAGCAAAAGGTAAAGATACTCAAATGTATGAGGCATACAGGACCCCAGCTACCTACAACCCTAACAGAGAAACACCCAGGCATATAATAATAAAAATTCCAGAAATTCAATACAAGAACAGAATATTAAAAGCTGTAAGAGACAAGAAACAGATCACTTACAAGGGAAGACCCATCAGAATTACAGCAGATTTCTCTTCACAAACCATCAAATCACGAAGAGCATGGGGAGAAATAATTCAAGCTTTGAAAGATAATAATCTACAGCCAAGATTGAGATATCCTGCACAACTGTCCCTGGAAATTGATGGAAAAACGAGGTGCTTCCAGGATAAAGAGGAACTGGGGGAATTTGCAACCACCAATTCAACCCTACAGAAAGTATTGCAGGATATTCTAAAAAAAGAAAAATACAAAGAACCCAGAAATAGGGGCGGGGAGGCCACAACGAATGGAGCAGAGAACAAAATGAAGAAGACAAACTGACAGCTACTGACAGGAAAAAGAGCTCAACAGAAATGAGACAGAAGATTGGATGATAGGAACAGCTTTTTTTGGAGAAAATGACATCTTAATAGGTAATGCTGATTTAGTATCATCTTGTTTTGAAGTCTCATCTAGCTTTTGTTCTTCTGTCTCCAATGGTCTAAACAGGTTGTATCTTATTGGATTTTGTTATGTACGATAGTATAAGAAAAAACCTTTTAAAGACAAGGAGATTATACAGAGACCATTGTTCATTTTCTGTTAGTCGATTCTAAATACTCTATAATGCTGTCATTCTCTTAAATGGATTTACATTGTTTTGATATACTTAATGCTACAGTATATGAAGTTGTACTCAAGGACTTCAGGGAGGGAGTCAATATGGTAACTATTTTTGGGTCAGGATTAGCTGGTGGTGAAACACTGTTCTGCTTAAATAGTTATGTTTTGATCTGCCCTGTTTCGCTGTTATGCCCTCCTTTTTCTCAATCTCCACTCCATTATTTACTTTTTTATTTTTATCCATTTAATTAAAGGGAAAAATATAGCAGGATATAATATAGTAACCCACTTTGACTTTCTATTATCTCGATTTGAAGCCCTGTATTACTCTCACCATCTTGTTTTTGACTGAGGTTCCTATATTCTGTTTTGCTGGATAGTATCAGGTTCGAAAGTTTAGGCATCAGCTGAGAAGATAATGAGATTCATTATAACGCCCATTCTCGTTGACTTTTATCTACTGTTGAAGACCTACAATATCTCCAATGTTTTGGTTTTGTCGGTTTTATTCTTTACGGTTTTGTTCAATTGTATTACAACTAATGATATAGGCAATTCTATTAGAAATAGCGGGAGGCATTATGGTAACCATTGTTGATCACCTTGTATTATGTTTTTATATTATCTATTATGTCCACCCTTTTGACTTGACCGATTCTGTTCTGTTATGTCACATTTGGTTTTACTCTCTTCCAAAAAAGCAACAAGAACCGTGGGAGCAATGAAACCCAAAATGTGTAATAGTCACTGTACAAAAGAGAGGAAAAGAAAGTGCTCTAAACTATATAACTGCATGTATATTTAAATGTATAAGATAGAAAATGATAGCACAGAGTTTTATTGGATCATTGAACAGAACTGTTTGCAGTATCATTGTTGGAATGTCCACTCTACAAGCTTTAATTTTGTGACTTAAACAATTATTTCTAAGATGGCAATAGGTAATCCATTAACTAGTGATTTCCTACTGCGCATTTTTTTATTCTGTAAATCTGTATAACTTGTACCCCTTCACTGTTTTTTTTCTTTCTTTTCTTTTCTCCTTAAATAAAAATTTAAAAAAAAAATTAAAAAAAAAAAAAGTTACAACTTTTTAACCAAAATAAAACATCAACAGATCTGAAATACAAACATCATCGACACAACACTTCTCTAATGTGACACAAATCACCAGAGCATTTTGTAGTTTATGATGCACTCGATGTCAGATGGGACTTGACATTTCTTTTTTTCTTCTCTCTCTACAGTGTGTGTGTGGACTAAACCTAGAACCTTCACACTGAACTACATTCCTAGCCTATTTTTTGAAACAGGGTCTTGATAAGTTGCCTGGGCTATGCTTAAACTCAGGATTCTCTTGTCTCTGCCTCCCAGGGTGCTTGGATTACAGACGTGCCACCATACCAGACATGAAATTTCTAACACGCTCCCTAGTACTGAGGCTGCTTGTCCATGCACGGCACATTTCTGAGTAGCATAAGTAATATTCCCAAGCATTCCCGTCTCAGAACTGCCCCAAACCACAATTATGGTCACACTTATAAGACACGAATAAGAACCTGGCATTTTCTGGTCTGAAGTACTGTGATTTAAATTATACAAATTTCCAGAGGCTGAAAATTTCATATTAAGTATTTCTTATCCAAAATGCTTAGGACTACAAGTGTCTGATTTTGGAATATTTGCAAACATACAATGAGATATTCTGGGGATAAGGACCTGCCTATACTCAAAATCCGTGTCAGCTTTCCATTACTGTATACCTGAGATGATCAACCTAAAAGACTAAAGATTTATTTTAGCTCATGGCTTCAGGCATTTCAGGCCATTACAGGCTAGCACTGTTGCTTCTGGGCTTGGCGCAAGGCAGATCATGGCAGAAAGGCATGTGATGGCAAAGTTGCTCGCCTCTCAAAAAGGAGGCACTGGAGTCCCACTATGATTTTAGCATACTGGCTTTAAGATTTAAACCACAACAAAATTCACCTGTTGTTCACATATACCTTATACACACAGTATAACTATACAACATGAAAATGTCTGCATTTTGACTGATATGTCACATGACGTCAGATGGAATTTTACATGTACAGCATCACATTGTGACTCAAAATAGTTTGTATATAGCATTTCATATTTCAAATTTGGGGATCTGAGATGCTCAACATCTTTTCTTTTCTGGGAAGGGACTGTTTTAATAAGATTCTTAAAAATGTCCTTGTGGCCTAAAAAAATAAACCCCAACACTGTCTAATAAATACTTTTGTTGGAAGATAAATTTCACTACTTAATCAAAAGTTACATCATTTATTGTTTCTCTATGTTCATGCTGAAATGATTTGAGACTCAGTTAACTTGAATCTAGCTTAGAGGTTACTGGGCAAGCATACTGTTTCTCACACATTACTAATTACAACCATTCCTTTTAACAGCAGGGTAAAAGGAAGAATAGATGGCATGCCATACCTCACTAATTTTCAAAATCATAAAATCCATCATGACATCTGTAAGCCCAGCTATTCACGAGGCTGAGACAGGAGGATAAATGAATCTGATATGAATCTTGGTTACTTAGTGAGACTCATCTCAAAAATATGGAGCCGAGGATGTAGCTCAGTGGTACGCAAGGCTCTGAGTTCACATCCAGCCCTGCACCCCAAAACAACAGTAAAAAACAAAACAAAACAAAACAAAAAAGTATCTGCACTCCAATAAATATATTAAATAAAAGATGCTTCCTCTAGAATAGTATAGTCAACATAAGCCTGCCTTTAAATTTCAGACCACTAAGAGAGAATAAATATTTCTATAAAGCTACAAGGAAAACTCAATCTTTTGAAAAGCAACTGTTTTCAACATGAGTTGACAATCAGCATTAAAAAGTAAAAGAACCAAGTCAAAAGAAAAAAAGATTCAGTTTATACTTTGATAACTAGTCCACAGGCAAACGCTAAAAGAAAAGCAACATCGATGCCCATACTGTAGTCAACAAATATATAATCTCTGCAATTTCAAGGTGTCCTAACCCTTTCATACAAATATGTAATGACTTCCTGAAGAAGTTATCTATTCATTTCCAGGACCTAGCAGAACACAAAATACGCAAAGCTTGAAAGAAATGTTTGCTAAACCAATTTTTTTTTCACCTTCTCATCTTTTTGTCTGTACACAATTTTAACGAAAAACCTCAAAGCCCTTATAAAAAACAAAGCTGGGGGAAGCAGATGGGTTGAGCAGTGCGAATTACTCTTCTAATGGCAGCCTGTGGCTTCTTTGTTCAACAGTATTCTAAGAGCAAAAAGGCCCAATAAAGTTCAGTAGTTATTACCAACCTAGGGAGGGAGGTGTCTACACCGGAGCACAGTGGAACAATCAAATACAATCCACAGCATAACCAACAAGACTTCTTTCTTATCAAGCAATTCTGGGCCCACCAGCTAGTCACCTGAATTGCCCTATTTGAAGACTGGGGCCCATCAGTCTACGTGAACAAAACTGAGCTGTCCTGATTTTTACAGCTTACACTATAAAACTCAGCTCAAACACATATCTGGCAAAATAGCCTCTAACACAGTTGCTGAGGTTGACTAAAAATATTTTTCAGTGCATAGAAATTTTCATTAATTTAGTGAGTTTCTCCTGTTGATCCAAAGCCATGGCTGGGAGCTGGTTTTAGCTTTAGAGAAAAATGTATTACAATGCATTAATGTATTTTGATGACCATGTGGTTATAAGGATAAGGCCTAGGACACAGAATCTCTCAGGCATTGGAGAAAAGCTGGGTAAACCAGGTGCTCCGCTTAGAGAGGAGCCCGGTGAAAAACTGGCACTGAATGTACAGCAGATTAGTAGTGAAATCAGAGCCTCCGGACTCCCAGGCCGGCCTCCCTGAAGGGTACAGGGGAAGATCTGGCACTCTCAGCCTGCCGGCCAACCTTAGGCACAGAGCTGCCGCATGGGCCGCTGCTCCGCAGCCTGAGCATCGCGTCCTGGAGCCGGCGCCCAGGGCAAGGCCCACGTGGTGGCCGCGTGCACCGCACTCCCATTCCAGGCGCCGTCAGCCCCGACTCCAGGGCCCTCACGCGTCGGCGTGCGTCCCGGGCTTTGCAAATCCCCGCGCTGGCGGTGAGACCCGTGGTCCTACTGATCCGAGTCCGTGCGACCCGCATAACTGGAGCCTACAGCGCGGCCCGCCCGCTGAAACCACCTGACTCACCAGCGCCGCCGCTGCGCGTGGCCTGAGCGGAGCGGATGCAGGACGGCAGGGAGCGCGCGGCAGGGGCGGGGCGAGGCGGCGTGGGCGTGGTCTTGTTCTGCGCCTGCTCCCGCCCCGCCCCGATGGCGCTCCGTGGGGAAACCTCTTCCCTCCCCTCCCCCCGTCCCGCGTCCTTCTCCCGGTTGAGTGTTCAGCTAAGAATCAGTGTGTAACGATACTTTTTAAAGTTGATAATCTATATCTGGAAGTTGCGGAGAAGCATTACAATTTGGACAACTGTACTAACGCTGTCCTAATTATTAGGGGAGTGGTGCGCCTGCTGTGCTGTGTCTCTGTCAGTTTCCCTAAGCCTAAGTGCTGTGCATCTTAGTACCACTTAGTTTCCACAGTACCGAGGAAAACGAAAACAAAACCAAAAACACCACGTTGGTTTGAAATCAACACTGACTTGTAAAATGTTTAATATTTCTTTTTGTTTTACGGTTTCTCTTGCTCCTGGGTCTCACAACTTCAGGAAGCACACACAGGTTTACATATATAAGGAGCTTCTATGCACTTTTTGTCCGTAACAGATGAGGTAATTTTTTTTTCTATATAGGGTTTTAGTATTTATTCCATTATTACTGGCTCAACTAAAATAAGGAAATGGAGACACAATCTAGTTATGTCTTCCACACAATCAAATTGTGTGAATGAAAATTACTCAACCATTGGATAACACCTGGGAATTAAAAGCCTACAGACTTGGGGCTGGGGATTTAGCTCAGCGGCATAAGCGCCTGCCTTGCAAGCAGGTAGTCGTGAGTTCGATCCCTGGTACCAATAAAAGACAAAAAAAAAAAAAAGCCTATAGACTCCTGGGCTGCTGTGGGAAAACATAGACTAGGTAGTTTATAAACAATAGAAAAGTATTTCTTACAGTTCTGAAGCTGGGAATTCCAAGATCAAGGCACCTGCAAATTCACTGTGCCTGGAGAGGCTCCCTCACCAATTCATAGATATGTTGGGACAAAATACCCAACACCCAGAGTTAAAGGAGGAAAGATTTATTTAGCTCACAGTTTGTGGAAGTTTCTGACCACACTAGGCGCGCTCCAAGGCAGAGTGGCATATGGCAGAGGGCAACAGTTCATGGTGGCAGAAACAGCAAAAGCATTTCTGTTTTTTATATTGTAGTAGGCCACACATCCATAATCCCAGCATTGGGCCATGAATCAGTCACAAATTCTAGAAGCCTGCCCCCATGACTGCTTGAGGCTTTGGGGGGACAGCCAGACACAAACCACAATAATAGATGACTCCTACTAACTGCATCTTTACATGATAGAAGGCACAAGGAAGCTTTTGGGGACCTCTTTGACTAAAGCATAGTCCCATTTATGGAGCATCCAAGACTTTTTCAAAGCAGATTAGCAATTTGGTTGAATTTTGGAAGATACATTGATATCATAGCGCTCATGCTATGAATATTCTTTGGACTTTCTGCATTTGTAAAAGTAGTTAATTTCATCTAATAAAGTTTCTGTGAGCCAAGCTGAAGCAGAGTAAGCAAGGGAGTGTTAAAACTGTAAATGCTGTTTGGCTGAGAGGCGTTTGTCAAATTCCACTCAGCATCTTGCACATGTTAAGTGCAACTGCGCTTATTACAGATGTATGCTTAATTTCATTTACAAAACTCATCAAGCAAAGCACCTTCAAATTAATGTAGTCATTTCACTATGGAATAATCTTGACATTTACCATAATGCTAAGTGAAATAAACTGTACACACAAGCTTAAATATTGCATAGTTTTTCTTACATAAGAAACCCAAAATGTAAATAAAGCAAAATAACATAATGGGAAATAGGGAGAGAGATCTTTCACTAATGGGAAATGGAGAGAGAGGGAAGACAGGAGTGGTAAGGATATGAAAAGAGGAATAAAGATGAGTTATGTGCATGTACCAACTCCACACAAGGAATGTAAATATTAGTACCGCAAACGTATAATAATACAAATAAGTAGCCAAATTTAAGAGTGACCAAGACTAAGGTCTAACAAGATTGTACTTATAATATAGCTCCTGGAACTCAATATATTTGGTTTCCTAAATGCATATAAGTTTGAAATTATATTTTAGATATTTATATGATGACAGGAAATATATTGCCTTTAATTCTGATACCTAGGACAGAACTTTGGACAAAGTGGTTATTACTGTTTTTATAAAATTGAATTGAGTTAGTATTCTTACTTTCTTTCTATGCTCAGTCTAATTTTTTAAAAAAATCTGTTCCTATAGAAGTGTCAATGTTAGACTTCAGAACATTTTTAAATTATATGATACTGCACACCACTCTTCTATAACAGCCAAGGCTAGTGAGTGAAAATATGTCTCGAGATTTTCCAATGAGTATTTCTTACAGAGATATTTTGTTATTTAACAAGTTATCCATAAATCCTGAAGTACACTTGTTCATGATTCTTATAAAAATAAGATGTTCTTCTTGAGTTGCTTTATGTTCATCTTTGAATTGTTTTGTTAAAAGGTAAACAAACTCCTATTGAGTATGTTTCCTAGGGGATTAACAGAATACGTAGATGGATGAGAGAACACAGCAGCATGATAGTAGACTAACTTACTTATTGGTTTTTTTAAACTTACTATACTGTGCTTGATAATCACTTGATTGATCTCCAAAATGGTACTCAAGAACTGATGGATCCTGTTTTGAAATCTTATATTGTTCTACTGTTTTGTTTTTATTGTTTTGTTTTCTTTTAATATCTTTAAAATAAAAAATAATAAATAAATTTTTAAAAGAATTGATGAATCCATTGATGAATTAGTTTAAACTTTTAAGGAATAAAAAAGCAAAGTTTTATAAATCACTTCAAATACTGAAAGGCTGGGTCATTATTTTAAAATATTATTTGTAATAACCACCTAAAGAAAATTACACAGTAATGTTATATAAAAACGTACACAAACTTTAGTAAACCAAATGAGATTTTCATTTAACAATTTAAAGACAATATATTTAATATTTTGAACATTTACCATTTTACAGGCCCCTCTATGAAGTTTATACTCAAACTTACTAATACACATAAAAATCTATGAGAAAAATCTATAATATCTCCTTCTCCATTTTTTGCATATGATGAAACTGAGGAATCAAGAGACTAAATTTCTAGTCAAAGACCACAGATACATGGAAGATAGAGCTAAGATTTTCATCTAGGCAGTGTGGATTTTGAAACCCACCCTACATGCTGAGACTTGATTCCAGAGTCTTCTGCTTGTCTACCACTGAGCTGTATTCCCATTCCTTGAACAGTGGTTTTTAACTTCAGTATTATTGGCTCATTGGTTTAGTCATCTTTTGCATGAGAGGTTATAGTGTGCATTATAGAATGTTTAAAAGCATCCCTGGCCCTACCCATTTGTTGACAGTAGTGCTTGAACTCCCAGTATTGTTATAGACAGCTGAGTTAGAAATATTATAGGCAGTCAGACAGGGCTAGGCCACCAAAGAGGCCAGCACAGAGGACCAAATATCTTGTGACCTTACAGGAGACAGGTACCTCCTGCTGTGGGCCAGATCTCAAGACAAAGGATCAAGCAGATACACCTACATCCTAAGGATTGGCAGTCTAAACAATTCTCTATTGCCCTGAGGAAGTCAGGAATCACCATCCCAACCCCATACAGGAAGAATCACTGCTGTTGAGCATGCCCACTTACTACATGACTGGATTCTGCATTTATGTCTGATTTAATCAAATTTGTCTGAGCAATTAGTCTTATTGGTTAATCATAGTTCTGTCCCACCGTATGCCTGCCTTGTGAGTTCCCAGGTTTTCCCCACTTGGACCCATCTCACCTCATGCTTTTACTCTATAAAAATCCCTAAAAAAAGACAGAGTCTTTGGCAACCTGCTTAGGACTCCTTCTGTCTTTCTCTCTCTCAAACAGAATCTTTCTTTCTCTCAATAAATATATTTTGCTCAACCTCCATTGTTTCTAAAATTCATTCTTCGATTTTAGAGAATACAAACTAGTACCGGACATATAGTAGGTTGGGAGTTTCATTCGCCTATATCAGTATGACCCTAAAATATCTTCACTTTAGCAATTTTCTCCTCAAGTACTAGCTTTAAAATCTCACTATACTAAGTAGCAGCACATTCTCAAGAGGAAATGCTAGGTATAAATTTCCTAAAAGGACTCAAACAGATTTTATGACCATTAGCCAATTCAGTTTATATAAAAAGAAGATTAAAAATTTAAGGGAAATTTAGGATATAGGGCATTTGGGGAAATAGAAGATTACTAACATAGTAGAGACTTTACTACCATGACTCTTCCTTCCCCTAGCTAAGTGACTTTAGTGCCATATGGGCAAAAACTTGGCAAATCCGCAGGAGGGTGTCAGGTTGGCTGCTTGCTGCACTGTGGAATCTACTGCTCTGTCTGGGTGCTGCTACCACAGATGATGCCAGGGCAATTAGAAAGTTCTGGAACCCCAGAGATATGGCTCTGAGGATTTGAGGATGGAATGTTACACTGAAGCAAATGACTGCTGCTCACCTGGAGGATCCTGAAGGAAGCACTAAGGCACAAACAGCAGGAGGGCTCAAAGTCAGAGTGCAGAAGCCTGCCCTAACAGTACAGACCCTTGCACAGGCTCTAGGCCAGTTATATGGAACCTGTTAAGTTTTCAGTTATAACAAATGGACCGCTGTGGCACATTTGGCATAAGTTCGCTACCATTGCCTGGGCTGTTGCTGTAGAAAATTGTTGAGATTGGATTGTCTGAAAGGTACCTTGCCAAAGAGAGTGGAGTAGCAGGTGGGGAAAGCTAAACTTTAGGAGGCAGTGAGTCTGCTGGCTCAGATAGGAAAAAAGACTTGAGGTGACTGAGGTAAGTCAGAGCTCTCCAGGTTAATTTCAGTGTACTCCAGTGTGTATTACTCCAAAAAACAAAACAAAACAAAC